TATATAAAAGCGATGGACTGTTTCAGTCTGTGCGTCTCGCTGTGTGGGGAGAGGCGAGAACCGGCATCTCACCAGCTGCATGTATTTTTTTTCATGTATAGCACAGAGGACAGAAATAGCTTGCGTGTCTTATTGTTCCAACCTGGAGCTCTGAGCCGGGCGACGGATGTGCTCCTTCAGAGGAGAAGGATCCTCCTGCATGACGAGACCGATGCATGTGCCTGCATGATGGAGAGGAAAGGCTGGAGTTTGAGGGCTGGAATTGAAAAAAGAGAAATACTGCATCTAGATGTATCCTTTAATGTCGCTTACTGATGGCACATTATTTGATGTCAAGGCTTTGTTCGATCTCTTGAATGATCAGGCGAGCCTCTTCATCCGCCCGATGCCCTTCTCAGATACGTGCGCTGAACACAATAAGCGCTTAAAGTCCACTCGCCTCAAACTGCTTTGTACTACAAAGGCCCCGTCGGTTTTCTGAAGTCACCCGATGTGTTTTTGCGGGGAAGTAACCGCTGGGTGTCGACGTGATAATCGTTTCTTGTGCAAAGGTGGCACCTTTTAGTTGTGTTGGATTACAGAAGGAAGAAAAGCTGTCCTGACCCGTCCTTGGTGTTCTGGCTGAACCCTGTGGCTCAGGAAGCCGTGTTCTCCTTTTAACCTTTTTCATCTGATCAAGAGGGAAAACAGTGTTTGACCTGCGCCGTGGGGAGGCACGCCGGCTGCTGGGATTAGGGCCAAAACAGCAGGTAGCTGAGCTCATGTAAGGGGAGCTGGCAGGGCCACGGGGGGTGAAGGTCCACATGCACGCACACGCATGCATTGTTTTGTGTGTGTAACTAGAGGCCCAACAACCAATAATGTCGTCTGCAATGAATCACGTGGAACCAGGAAACGAGCTCGGCACTGAAAAGTGAAGTCTGTGCATCTTAAAACGTGGACTTTCTTCACTTACCAGCAGGGGGCGACTGATCTAGTTGTAGAATTAGGTCAGAGAAAATGACCCTATTTATTACTAGTAAACACTGGTAACATGAGGTTTCTCTAAATTTCTTCCTTCAGTTCAACGTAATATTCATTCACCAACTGCAAATTCCTTGTATGTTTGACATATTTTGGCAATAAATGTTTCCTGATTTATTACATTACATTTAGCTGCCACTTTTTGTCCAAAGCGATTGGGGGAATTAGGGGTTAGGTGTCTTGCTCAGGGACACTTTGGCAGCCGGGGCTCGAACCACCAACCTTGCGGTTCCTGGCGCTCCCGCTCCCTCTCCCTCTCCCTCCCCTGCGCCACGACGACCCCCCCTTTTAAATAATGGTCAAGCAGAGGAGGCTTTGGGGCGGGCGTACTGTGAAGTTAGTGTGAATAAATCAGCCCTTCTAGTGGTCGGTCATCGGTCAGTTCACGTATAAAAGCCTGAAATATTAGTTGGGACCTTAAAAAGCCCAAATAAAGGCCAGTTGTGTACTGTGCTGTAGCACTCACAGCCTATTTAAAGCTTTCTCCGGTTTACCCTTGTTCTCAGGCAAAGAGAACTCGTAAATGCAGGAGTCTCTCTACACTTCACTACACTATTGTCTGATTTAGTTGTTTGTGTGGCATGAAAACCAAAGGCAGACCAACTGACCGTAGTTTTTTCCTTGTTTCTGGTCTGGACTACAGCAGTGGTAGCTAAAAGAAAACGGTTCACAGGGCAAAATCCGTATGAAGAACGTTTCCTCAGCTTTACACATTCTTGGTTATTGCTCTCAATCACTAATAAACATGTTTACTTTTGGATGTTTTTTAGTATTAAAATCACATGGAGGTGAAAACCTTATTTGACATATGCATTGTTCTCCTGTTGTACTGTAATGTAACATAGTTTGCAGGAAGTGGAACACTTATAACTCCGGCTGTACTTATGGAATGAATGCTGTGGAAATGTATAATAAGTTGGACTCCTCAGGACAGGAGGGGGGCTTTTGTGAACTGAGGGTCTATAAGGGGACGGCCTGCTTATTGTGGTGGTTTGTGGCTCTGTGTTAGCCGGAGTCTTTTACGTTTTAAGTTGTGGTCAAATGACTTGGGTGTTGAATGGTTTTTATATTCATACCGGCCTCTCTTTGAGGTAAATAAATAAACAAAATGGACCGATAATTAGTTATTTACTGTAGACGCTGCGTAAATTACCGGTGCACCAGCTGCAAACACAGCAAGGTTCTGTAATGTATCAAAGGGAAAACTCTGTGAAAATGTTGACAACATATGGCAAACTCAAAGGCTGCATTGCTGAAAACTCCAGTGTACACAAGTCCCCCATCTGCTAATCTGCAATAAGACCATACATCACACAAAGAGCCAACCTACTTGGGTCTTATTTGGATCCAACGGCAATTTGACTACTTCTTTGTGAATTTAAAGGAGTACATTTCAAGTAACAGCGACTCTAACAGACGGCACAATAGCCAAACTACACGTAACGTAACTACAGTGCATCACTTATCACTAGCATTTAGATTTGGTTCCTTTTTTCATTTCAGCCATTTAGCACATGCAGAACGGATACAAACACGAGAGATTTTTACCCTGTCAAGCCGTAACCGCAGCGGCATTTACATTTTAATATATAGAGGCTATCCCTTAGGGAATATTAGCTAAATTAGCATTGTAATGAAAATACAATTGTACTCAGCGGAGGTGTAATTGTACAAAACAACAATATAGTATATACCCTTCTCTTTGTCACAGTGCAGCGGAAGATGCCCGTAAATCACCCCAATCGATGCCCATAAATCACCCTAATTGCCGTCATGGGGGCGAGTGAGCCATGATAAAAGGCTCTGGAGAGTACAGTCTGCCGCCCAATGCGCCACCAGCCGTCTCACACACCTCCCAGCATTGAAATTCAGAGGCCGATGCCGCTGACCCCCAACCCACCGCCCCTCCCTCCCTCCCAGTAAACCGTACGGCATGTCGCCGTTGTTTACAAAGGAACGCGGCAGTACGTGGAGCATGGCCACACATCTGAGGCGCCACCATCCTGGCCTTTCAGCCGCACCAACAAAGGATTCTCGCATTATTGAGGGAAGAGTCCAACCGGGCTAAAGCGATCACGGCATGAATTGATTATTCAGTATTGACTAAAAGAAGATGGTACCAAGTCAACATAATTCATGTTGCACTTGAACAGAATTGAGTATTCTAATGTTTTATTTTGATTTATTTTTTTTTTTTTTTCATTCGAGTGTTACTGTCAAAATATTGATTGGCGGAGCAACAAAGTTATTTCTCATACCAGACATAATGTTCAATCTAAAGCGCATTGATCTCTTGCCGCAAATATTGCCCACCGACTCATTAAGTGAAACATGAGTCCAGTGTGAACAGTACATCACTTTTCAGTGTGTTAGTGTGTGATGGTTTCTAACGTAAAATAGTCCCTTTTTTCCTGACTGTTATCTTTTGGGTGTGCAGCGCTGTCCAGAGGTAACCTGCTCGTGTGAACAGGCTCCTCGAAGCGGTGTGGCGCATGTTTAGGGAGGCCGGAGTAACAAAGAAACGTCTCCCGCTCCCCTTTTATCACAGCTGTAATTACTGCATTCCATTTGTCAACGGAATAAACAAAAACAGGCGCCTGCCCGCAGCTATCTGCTACCTGGCACGTTGTCCTCCTCCAGTTCTCTGTCTCTGTCTCTCTCATAATGATGATGCTTTATGCTGAGCAGACCTCAGCATTGACAGCGTGGGCTTGGACCAAGCGATACAGCATTACGCGTGTGAATCAGCCACACCAGAATACAGATTTCCAGAGAAGGACATGGTGCTTACATTTCTGTGAGCTATTTTTAAGTAATAAATGCTGACATTTGAGAGACGGGCCGAGCGAGAGAGCGTTATCTGATTAGCATCTAATGCGTTGATTCAATTAATTTCCCGGTGAACCTGACATTACAATGGGATGGCGATGATTTGGTCGAGAAATGCGCACGCATTTCTGTGTTTTTGGCTTCGCCGCTGACGGACTGCCAAAAGATGGATTTGGTTTGCGTAAGTGGCTGCAAGCTTAGAATGTCGTCAACAAGTGAAGCGGCCGTAGACACTGTGGCTGGCTCCGGCTGTGTAATGTCAAATCAATATCCGGTGCGCCTCAGGTTTCACGAATGAAAAATACAAGCAGATTTGATCAATGGACAGGAGGGATGTATGACTAGAGGCTTGTACTGCTCTCATAATACCAGACGGATCCTCAGAGGTAGAACAGCCGATGTTAATCCATGACTGCCACTCAGTGGCTGCAGCTTTGACTCGCTCTTATTGACTGAATAAGACAGACAAATCTTTGAGCAGGACTTTTTCTTCTTTTTTTTGAATAGCCGCACTATGGAAAAAAAATGCACAATCCTTCTGAAATGTCACTCTCCTGTCAGGAAAGAACTCAGAATTCCAGATCTGCTTCAGGAACATCTAATTTGACTCAAATCATGTGCTGGAATAAAACTGCTGGATTTCCCCCAGAGGGAAAACACATCTCCATGTGTCAGATGACCGATTTGTTTAACACATTCAACATGTTTGTTTGATCGCGTTTGAAACCCCCTGAACGATTACTGGTTTTCTACCGCCAAGACCAACAAGGAGGACTGTCAAATGAGTTTAAAAGCCCCAGAACAATCCAGTAAATGGACCTGTAGTTATGTCAAACAAGGGGTTCGCATGGAAAGAATAAAAGGGAATGACTCAATTCTCTTGGGCATCATCCTTTCTATATTTTATTGTTTGGGACTGGTTGGGCGTAAACGTATCCATGTAATTACCATCTGCAGGAAAGACCTGTGCATATTGTCCACCTGGCTTACACTACTCATACCTGCTCTGCCTTTTCAAAGTAAACTAAAGAGTGTGTTAGAGCAGTAAAAAGAAGCCTATACACAACAGAAGTATTAACATATGTTATATAGCGAAATGGCATGTCATAATGACACCGTGTATTAATTAGTTCCCTTTGTCCGTCCAGCCATGTTCACAGAGGTGCCCCACGATATGACTGCACAGAGGGGTCAGGACGTGGAGATGGCGTGCTCCTTCAGAGGGGCGGGGATGCCCTCGTATTCACTGGAGATCCAGTGGTGGTACATCAGGAACCATCTGGACTGGACGGACGGACAACCCTGGACGACCAATGAGGTAGGTTCATCCGTTCAAAGGAACTCTCGATCAAGCAGCCGGAGAATCATCCGTCAGTTCTTAAAGTACCTTGTTCTAGTGTAACCTTCATGGATTCATGTATTCATGACACTTGGTTGTTACTATATATGCTACTCTGTTACGTATCATATAGTAGAACTGCTTGGCAACTGTAAAAAAGAATGATTTCAATGTTTTTTTATAGGTGGCTCCTGAGGAGGAGACGCCTAAGGATGCTACAAAGATAAGCGTGAGTAAATAACTCATCTCACCCTGGTGAAAAACACCCTCATGCTTGCATCGGTATTAAGTGATACAATTATGCACAAAGCCTTGGTGATTAGCACTGTAACGAATTTCCCCGTTAATTTACAGCCAGACACATTTCCTGTATTCTACAGCATACCTACTGTAAAGTACAACAGCATAAAACTAAAAAAAGAAAACGGTACACTGCTGCAGTGCAAAAGACATTCAAAATATTTTGAAAACTGTTATATACAATTGAACACTGAACACATTCTCAACAATCTGCAACCAAACAAATTCTGGAACTACATTTTCCAGTTGGCCTCCCTTGTTGAAAAAAAAAAAAAGCATGATTAACCATCAGGTGAGGCTGTTGTGACGACGCTGCTCCCCTGTGGTTGCTCAGGACAGCGTCAAGGGAAGCCACGGAGTCGTTGGCATCACACCAATCAAATCACAGTATGTCATCAACGTCATTGAACGAAACAACGGAATATCTGTGTTGGTAAGCCAGCGAAAGTATTAAGCGCAATGATGAAGGCGGAGATTTGGAGTATTTAGTAAAAAATCATTTGACTAAACTGCTTTTACAGCAGCAACTCTGAATTAATTGAATGAATTTAATTGACGGCAGGCCAACACCAAAACTAGAGCTCCGTACTGAGAGGAAGAAAGGTTCTCAGACTTTCAATGAGGAGAATTACGTCCGCAGCGAGTGGCTACACGTAGAGCGTTGTGTTTGACGTGGACGTAAAACTTAATGGCTTCTGATTGCGTGTGTGTGTGTGTGTGTGTGTGTGTGTGTGTGTGTGTGTGTGTGTGAGAGAGTGAGGTAAAATGATGCGGGGCCTAAAAGTTCACCCGACTACATGAAATAGCAACATATAAATTGCAACATATGAATTTCTGTAAAACACACACAGCTTTGAGGTTGTGTTTCACTTGGCCTCCTTGAAAATGTTCCCCACGCCACTGCTGAAAGTGTTTTGTTTTTTTAATCCGCGTGAGAGTTGCCGCCTTCTTGGACCAGCTTCCCTGTCCTTGTAGACACCACCGTCCCCTGGTTGTCCCTCTTTCTGGGTTCAGCCCAAGGAAGCGCTAATATGTAATAAATTATAATGACCTTTGTGTCTACTAATGAGAGAATATTATTGTCATCTACGTAAATATTTTATTTATATGAAATAACATGTGCCCCTCTGTAAGAATCCAGCATTTTCACATAAGTCTAATTAGATTTCAGAACATGAATAAAGGATCATATCTTACGTGGGACCATTGAATTAACGCGGTTCAGCAGAAAGCTAACGTAACGTTAGCTTAGGTTAGCACCGCAAATAAATGTAGTTCCATCCGCAAATATGAATCGTAAAATGTTATCCTAAATCCTTCTGTGTGCATTTGTATATCGAATACATTTGTGAGTTGTTCTGTGCGCATTTGCAATTATTGAGACGGATCTGACCCCATATATCCGCCCGCCTACCGATCTCTCATCGTCAAACAGGGGACCCGCTACGGACACGAGTTCATCCGCCAAGCAAACGCGCCTTTTCCCTGCAGGCAGCTGACAGGCAGCTAACAGACAGCCTACATTAGGACCCACGGGGTGATTAAAAGGGGGGTGGGGTAATTACCTGGGCCTCTCCTTCTCAACGCAACTTTGAACGAGACCTGAACGCAACGAGCAACCACCACGAGGCCATTGTTTGATTTGGTAAGTTCTTTTTATTTTCTTAAATAGGTTAGAAAGCTTGGCACAAAGATTTACAGCCTATAAATACTTTGTTTCTCTAATTGTTTTTTAGTCTTAAATGCAGTTTTCTTTCTTGTGTGCGTGCTACGGTCGCTGTTCTTACATGAGTTAATTCACGCTGTGCTGCGTGTCGGTGTATTTTATTTTGGTTCTGTTTTGTGTGCTGCTTTAGTCGTAATTTACCTTCTTATTCTTTTGAAGAATGGCTCAATTTTATGACCTCCCAGGTGATGCTGGTTAGCCTGTCTGGGTGTTTTGCTTTCACGTAAACTGTGATTTTAACAAACGGATCCGCTGCATTTCAAGTGAGAAGCCTTTTTGTAGGGAAACGTTTTCACAGCAACCTTTTTGGTAGGTAATTATATAACGTGTTAATGCTATAGTTGTGCCTAGAGCTACAATTATCTCTTCTCTTTTTTTGTGTGTGTCTTGTGTAGATAAAATGAATAGAAAGACAGGGCCGGTCTCCAGCTCCACCATAAGACTGCGGGTCCATCAAGATCTTCAAAAAGAGACTTGAACAAATTAGTCAAAAGTGACCAGTCCTCCTCCATCCTCCTCCATCAGCTGACACCACAAAGCAGAGTTGCAGATGTCAGTGGAGAGAAGTGTCTGCGCAGATGTCAGACCATTCCAGGTTGCCCCTCCAACCTTTGCCCCTCTTCCACACACTCCTCCACCCGCACAACTGAACAGTAGACGACAGGCAGGAGGAACACCGTCTTCAAGCCAGTACAGGCCAACTTGGCGAGAGCGGCGGTGTGGATCTGGCACCGTTGCCTGCTGTGGTGAGCATGATGATTTCATGTATTAAGTGTAATCAGTCTTAAAATCAGCTGTCAAATTCATTTTTTTTTTAACCGTATTCAAATTTTAACAGCTGCTCACGTTCAGATGCTGGGTTTGCTGGAGGATATGAAGCAGATGCTGCGACAATTAACGGCGATGGTTGAACAGCTCGCCACAAACAAAGATACAACCGGCCAAGAAGAAGTGACTGGGGACCCGGTTCAGTTTCTGTCTTTTTGTTTCTGACACTTCAGTCACCCGGAGGTCTTGGGTAGTCTTACAACTTACAAAGTTGTATGTTTCCCAGATCTTTATCAACCTGGCAGCAGTCCGGAGGGGCTCCAGGAGGCGTGCCGCTAATATTCAACACTCATGAAGATGTATTCAAATGGTGTATACTTGTACAAATCTTTATTAAAATGTTTTGATTAAGTTATGTGTGCATTTCTTATGTATAACTGTACACATCTTATTGTTTGGCGCAGTCATGGTTGCGTTTCTTATGTATATTAAATTATATTTCTGGGGTTACTTTTAAGAAATGGATCTGCTGTGGATCGATTTTTTTTTTGCCAAATGAGAAGCTTGTCCAAATATGGGCGGGGCCCGGTGCAGTTAATGCAGGTAATGAGTGGAGAACAGGAGGGCTTCCTAAAGACAAACCAACCGGTCTGTGAGGGCCGGAATTGTTACGCGTTGGAAGGTCGATCAAATAATCCTCATGCAATAAACTGCCAAATATATATTTTTAAATCATCCATGTTTTCTGTATTTTTGTTTTAGATTCTGTCACAGTTGAGTACCTGTGATAAAAATGAGACTTTGTAAATGGGAAAACCTGCAAAATCGGCAGTGTATCAAGTGCATGTTCTCTCCACTGTATGTAGTGCAGAAAGGAACGCACACATTCCTCCTCCCAAGAGACCAAATGCTGCTGATTCGCTATCATGAAAGCACCAGCTGTGGATTGTGCGTGCGTGCGTGTGTGTGGGCGGAGCCCGAACACTGCAGGCCGTACAGCTGGGAAACAATGAAGAGCTTTCTCTATAAAATGAGTGTTGGCCCACATTCATATAGTACAGACACACACACTGATGACTGGTGCCACAAAACATCATCTAGCTTTTACATGCAGTCACACAGGCGAGCAGGGACCGGCACTGGAGCATCCACCAGGGGGGAGGAGGTGGGGGACAAACAAAGTCCTATTTATATCTGGGTACGTCACACGTCTCGATGTCCCCAGACTCTCCTCATCTCAGCAGAGCTCTGATGTGATGCGACTTGCAAAGCTTTTATTGGGCGATGTAGTCTCTTTGTACTCTCAAGGCCCCGAATAGAATTGGTTTAAGCAGCACCTCGGTGTGTGAGAGTGTGTGTGTTTGAACGGGAGAAGCTGCAGCCGTAGAGCGTCCAGGCTGCCTCAGTATACAGTATATACAGTATATACAGTATATACAGTATACTGAGGCACTAGTGCTGGTGTTTGTATCTGAGTACAGTCGCTGTCTAAATACATGCTAAACTTGGTGTCCTTTCAAACCATGGCCACGTGCAATCCATCAAAGGCAGCTGTAAAGCTTTTATACAACTGCAACTTTTTTTTTTCATCCGCCATAAACTATTTTGAATGAGATACTTTCCATGATGTTTTGATGACATGCTTGTTGTTAACAATATCAATATATTAATGGATTATTTGACTTATTTTGTCATAAAATAGACATGGTATATCATAACAAAACAAAAAACTACTAATACTGCCTCATTTCAACATGCCATACTACATGTACTTTTTTTATATGTTGAACTGACAATTTTAGGTCTTCATCTCAGCACGCCGTACTGTGGCTATTTCAATGCTATTCTCAATTCTGTATTTTTCAAGTTACATTGGTATATCATACTGCCACGACATTTTTACATACTATTTTATCATATTGTAGTACATCGTTGTAATGAAATAATATACCTAGCATGGTATCTGTAGGGCATTCATACTTATGAACTATACTGTGACATTTTCTATTATTAATTTTCTGTTTTTGTGGTAACTGTATTTTATGTGGTACAAACAGCCTAACAACATTTACGCGTTGAGCCGATGCTTGTTATAACAGTTGACACTGCGGGTGTGAATCATCTGCTTTGCAGCGATTGAGCTGATGAGTGGTTAGTGTGAGTGCGACTGATTTCCCCGTAGTGCTTCGTTGCACGCTCTCATTACACACTCTTTGGCAGCGTTAGTGGTGTTGGATCATGGGATGCTCATCATTAAAGAAATAAACCTGCATACTTACAAATTCTGAATAGCGTTTCAGAATGACTTCTCCTTCCAATTAAGGATTTTATTCCATTGCTATTTTGCAAAATACCTATACCTAATACCCTCCCCCCCCCATTTACATTTCTTGAATATGACTACTATTAAAAGTTATTGCTGGGGGAAAAATAATAAATAATACTGAATCTTTCCTGTGAGGTTTTTCCAGCACAGCTTTATTTATTTATTTATTCTTATATGACCCAGTAGCTTGTGGTGGCTATTGTTGCAAAATGGAGATTTCTTTTATCTGATATTGTCACTATTAATTACTTCCAATATCCTGTTATTGACACGCATGCTAATATCTCTTATTTCCTCTGCCTTTTCCAGGTCGTGAAGGTTGTAGGAAGCAACATCTCCCATAAACTCCGCCTCTCCCGGGTAAAGCCATCCGACGAAGGCACCTACGAGTGCCGGGTCATCGACTTCAGCGACGACGCGAGTACCCGCCACCACCGCGTCAGGGCCTACCTGCAGGTGGTGCCGGAGGGCGCCGTCGCCAACGGCAACCGCGACGACAACTTTGAGGGCCTGGACGACACCAAGGGAGGGGTGGCGTTCGTCGGCGGGGACGACGCAGAGTCTCGCGGCGGCACAAAAGAGCAAGCCCACGGCCACCACCAGAGTCACGGGCACCACCAGGAGCACGCCAGGCGGCCGGCGTCGCCGGCCCACCACGGCCACAGCCACGGCGGCGGCGGTCAGCAGCAAAAGGCGGGCCGGGAGCTGAGGAAGAGGGACGCGGACAGTAACCACAGCCACAACGACTGCACCAACGAGCCGAGCTGCGCGCCGTAGACGCCCGGCTCCTTCCACCTGAGCGACAGCGTCCGCAAGGGCCGCAGAAGGCGACGCGTGGCACAGCATGAACAGCTACTATTCCCACACTGCACAAATGGAGAATCTCTCCAGGTGTCCGGTCGGAGCGCGGCGCCGTAAGCTGTGCCGGGGGAATGTAGCTGTTTCTTGCTGTGCGTGCGTCCGGGTCGGACTGCTCGCCGTCAGCAAAGCTTCGCTTTGCGACACCCGGCGGACAAAAAAATAATAATTAAAAGACTTGTCTTGCTATTTACCCCCTTTCACTCTTGTACTTTAGATACTGTACATGACACCACCCGGCTTTCAGGCTCATACTCCCACTGCCTTACTCGCTCGTTTGATACACACTCAGAAAAAAAGTATATTAGACATTTTGTAACTAGGTCTGTGCCCGGTGCAAGAAGGTTCCTTTTCTTCTGAGGGTGCAGCGAATGACACCAAACCAGTTAGTAATCCTTCCATGGAAATACGGTCGCAGAATCTGTGTTTGCCCCGAAATTCAGCAATTTCCCTCCATCTCTATTCCCGGGGGGAGGACAACACGCTGTCTTCAGCAGACGCTCATCAAGGTCCCAGCGCAGCAGCGCTCATCAAGGGCAGATAAGGCCTCAGTTCATTTGTGTCGGAGTAAACACAGTGGCAAAATCACAGGCTGTATTTTCATCACAGCTCCTAGCTTATGAACCTGCAGTGCAAGAGCAGAGATGATATTTGCCCCCCTCCCCTCCCTCCCCCCTCGTGCTGTTCAGGCTCTGTCCCATGTTCCCCCCAATCTGGTTTGAAAGCCATGAAAAAAAAAAATCGGTGCCACTGAAATAACCCGGCATGGCGCGTCTCTGAATTCGCTCTATGACGAGACATCTATGGGAAGAGTAGTGATTTATTCCCACATCCCAATTCTCCGGCTCGGTGATCAATCATTTGAAAAGCCTCAATCCACTCTGTATATATGACTGTATAAAAGGAAATAAAGTGCATGTTGAGTAATTTTACTAAATTGTTTTCAACCAACCAAAAGAAAATTTGTTAGTTAGACAATTTATGTTATTTGTTTGGTCCTTTTAAAATTATTTTTTTCTTTATTTGTACTTTGGAAGTCCTGTTGAATAGAGCTCTCTATTCAAAAATCCGTTTTCTCTTCACTGCTCTCCAGAAGTGCTGTACAGACCGATGAATGACATGTTCTCTTCTTAGCTGCTCACAAAGGGATTTCCCTCGTGTATCTTAGTACTTCGCCAGTGTTCCTCAAAGCCACCGTCCTGTGAGTGTTTTTATCCGCTTGAAAGTGGGATTCTTTTGGTTCAGGTTGCGACTGTGGTTCTGAAAAGATACGAGAGGCCATCTTCTGCCAACGTTGAAACTGGATGAGGGTCTCGCTCTGTTCAGACGCTCGCTCCGAGGGGATCACTGAAATTGTCTCTCCGTCCTGCCTCCACGTCCAGCCTGTGTCTGGAGGCCGTGCGGGGGCTTCGCCTCCCCGCTGTTATCCATCACACCAACTACAGCCGGCTGTCCCTGTGGACTGAAACGATGTTACGCCGAGCGATCACTGTAAAGAAGAAAAGGGGGAACAGAGGTGTAATGTACATTTCTTCTAGAACGTTCAATCTCACACTAAGTGTATGGCTTTATCAAATGAAATAAAATTGTATAGGAATAATCAGTGGCCTTGTTTGATTTCGAGACGGCTTTGATTTCATTATACTTTTATATCTAACGGGTTACTGAGGCTGTTCAGCTTCTGGCCTCCTGCTCGGTGTCCTCGAGCATTAAGGGGAAACCGTATTAGGCGCGTTGCTGCCGCTGAGGAGTAATGGCTCTATTGTCCGCACTGGCAGCAGGATAAATAGCGGCAGCGCGGCGTGAGATAAAGAGGCCCAGCTAAACACAACACACGTGGCGATCTGGGTTCACGGTGTGGAGGACTCGCATTCATTATGGCGGGCTTCTCCCGTCAGTGAGGTGAAGCGATAGCGGCGAGGGGGCTTCCTGTTCCCTTCGTTTAAACATCCCCAGAACCCCGGAGGGCTCCAACTGATAACGGCTACAATGACAGATCGGCCGGCACCCCCGTCACGTGGCGCTCAATTCACACAAACCCGGTGCACCCGCTTCCCTTCCGGCTGACAGATGTTCTGCCTGCGCGTGTGCGATGTGGGTGGCAGGGCAGCTCCTGATGGAGCAGAGTTCCTCCATCCTTTTCCCAGCTAGACCAGCGTTCTATTCTTAAAGTACGAGTCTGGATTTATTTGATTTAGTTCTGTGGATAAACCACAAGCAGCGGCGCATTAATCCGTCTCTCAAAGCGTTCTGACTTTCCGACCCCGTTGGAGGCAACTGGTCTTATTTAAAAGTCCGGTCCCATGTGTGAATGAATAGGTTATGTGGGGTTAGAATATTACCAGCCTCATGCTTTAATATTAGGAACTCGCCCAGGTAAACTACGTACTTAAGTCTGCACCATCCTTTACTTAAACGACATTTCTAAGTGACCAACATAACTGTCATTACCTGAAAAACCGTTGCAAGACAAAAATACACACAACTCCCAAAGCGCAGAAACCTTTAAATGACAAAGTAGCTCCGCCCCAAAAGCGATCTCTGCATTAGTCATGTTTACCCAAAATAGGACCATCATTTACTTAATAATTATCATGCTGTATTGAAAAATACTTGAAACTAAAGATTGAGACCATAAACTTGTGTTTTTACAGCCTCTGATGCATCAGCGTTTGTCAGAGACTCGGTGTTCCGCTCGTGGCGGCTGACGCGGCGATGTCAGGTAACGATGAGGAGCAGGCGTCTGAAAAGCTCCTGACTGCAGTTTTAATTTGTAGTTTTCAACCCTCAGCTCCACTCGCTCCAGTGACATCGCTTGTAGGCATCAGACTTCACATCAAGAGTTCCCTCCGGAGCCGCAAAAGCCTTTGTACAGCTTCCATTCCATATTCAGGAGTCCTCCAAGAGCTGCCAGCCGCCTTCAAAGTAAAACCGGTGAAGCTCCCCGTTAAGGCCTTAAAAATAAAAAAAGATCCTCACTTTGGCCAGACACAGCTTTTCCTTCGTGCTAGAGACACGTTTTAGTTTATAGAAATAACATTTTAAATCGGAATGTTCCTATCTAGGTCACCAAGTTAAATTGTATAAAAGAGCCCAGAACTACTCTGAGACTCCGTTTAAATAATTCACACCATCAAGGTAGGAATAAGGTATTTCTTGACAAAATACAGAAATAAAAAGAACAGCAAGCATCACATTTGCACGCAGAATACGTCTACATATTCATGGAAAAACTCCTGCGCTGTGTGTGTTCCTGGTTTCTACCCCAGCAGGCAGCTTCATTGACATTTCCCTTTTGCAACTCGCTGCTTATCCGAGCCGTGTAGAGCATGAAGGTTATCGCGGCCCTGTCTGATGGCCGTCTCTTCGGGCACAACGGGCCGATTTTTCTTCCGGCGAACTGCCTCGTTTGAGTTTAGTGGTTCGATAGGCCGCCCGTGTAAAGGCACGAGTTCGATCCCGTCACTCGCCAGCCCGTTAGCTGGCTGCCTCGCCAACCGAGCCAAACTCCTCCCTCAGCAGCCGGAGCACGTTGTCAGAGTACTCGTCCCTCGGACGGCCCATTCCGCTCAGCCGCACAGGCCGCAGGTCCGGGTGGGGCGGGACGTAGGAGCACGGGCAGTGCAGCTCGTTCAGAGTGAACCAGAAGGCATCGGGATCCACCCGGATCAAGTGCTGGAAAACGCTGTGGGGAGGAATGCCAGACGCAGAGGAGGACGATTATCTATCCGCATGGGTCAGCCCATTCCAACCAGCCAAAAACATTTATTTGTGTCCTTCCCCACACTGATATATGTGGTGAATGCATTCTAAAGGCATTGCAGGGCTTATAGACACTTAAGTATGCGGAGTTCCTTTAAAGTGCATTCAGCGTAACATTCCACAACGTGGGGTCGTGCGGGCGTGTGCCTGCACTCGCACTCTCATGTTAAAGAAACTCATCGCCATCTTAAGTCGTTAAAGCATAAACTGGCTAATCGCTTAGTCGATCATCAGAATATTTAGTGACGACAAAACAAGTCGTGTCGACGAACATTTCGTAACTTCTCAGACCACGTGCACACTCACTAAAGGTGGGATCCATCAGCCTCAAAGACCCACACATTATCTTTCGGTAAGAAATGCCACACCTGGTGTTTCTCTACATGGCACCTTTAACAGGTAGGCGGTGTTTGAGCTCTGAAGCTCGACCGATGGAGGTGGAGATAATATCGACTACCTTATATAATGTCCACTTCGTCTACAACGAGACGTGATAGTTTTATATGTGAAAATCAATGCAGCCAAACAAATGTATCGACCTAAAAACGATAAGGTACAACACTAGATGGAGGAACTCGGATGAGGGCTCACCTCCGGCCAGCTTCCTGCAGTCTGATTGGCTGTCTGCAGCTCAGGTATGGCAGGCAGGCCTCACAGACAGCATCCAGGTCAGCGTCACCTAGGAAACCCAAACACAGGAGCGTCACTGCACCTCATGCTTCCTCATCGTCCTCTAGAGCCCAAAGCACGCACGGAAACAATAACAATAGATGGCATGGATGAGGCGAGGTGTGTGTGTGTGGGGGGGATCCTCGTCTAAATCTCTGGATTTCAAACATCCACTCCCCCCCTTTGAGGGGTGAACATGCGTGAGGATGACTACCCTTTCCTCTGCACCCCACCCTCTCTCGCCCTCTCTTTATCTATCCCTTTCATGGCCAGCTCCTGCTCTTCCTCCCTCCTCCTCCTCCACCTCCTCCCCCCCTACGGTTCAAACACTCGGCTGGAGCCCGCTCGCTGTGCCTTGACAATAAAGAGCGGCGGTACAGATTTCAGAGTTAAATGTGATTATTCAGCGGCCGCTTTCATCGCCTCTCTTCCTCTCATTTGTGGTGCTGCCCTCGTAGCCTTTCATCTTGGCTGGAATCAGGGGGGGCAGAAAAGTGAGAAATACCAAAGGAGGAAGTGAGATTGTGATTGTGTGGTAAATGAATCACAGGGTAGAATTGGAGCTGAGGCTGGAAAGCATTATTTGCTTCAGTCAATCTGTGTTTCTGCTCTGCCCCCCCCCCCCCGTGACTGAGGCTGTGTAATTGGCTTGCTGCAGGCGTCCCAGAGGTAAGCTGCAGCCACGATCGGTATTCACATGAGTACAGGCTGCTGCAGCCGCTGACTGGTTCTCTCCTCTGACTCCAAACCTCTCCCCCCTTTCTGATATTAAGGAGTGCCAGAGGAAAAAATAGGAAAAAAATCACGAATCTTTAACGAAACCCACGTTCTTCTTTTAACTTAAATACATTCCAGGCGTGTGGAACTAAAACATTTGAGGTGAGATAAGGTTGCGGTGGTCATTCACTGATCCATCTGCCGAAATCACCACACGTAGTCGCCACAGTAGAAGAAAACTCAATATCCCTTAAAGACTTTCCAGCTCAACACAAGTGGAATCCTCGTGTCACGTAAAGAGGAGCCGGTGCACGGATAGGCACAGGACGCGCTTATTAAACCCAGAGGGAAAATTGTGAAGCTATAAACCGTCTCCTACACCAAGGTTGGACACGGCTGGATGGCAGAGGCTGCTCTACCGCCGGAGCCTCGGCCGCGACACCATCCCAGCACGGCGGAAACAAAGCTTGGATAAACTGAGAAGAAAAATTATATTCTTGCATCAACCACTTTAGGCATTCTCACTGCCGTTGGGAAGTACCAGACCAAAACAGAGATGCAAAGAGTCCCGCAGTGCATTCGGACACTTTTGGTTTCACAATAAGTGCAGCGTTTGAGGCTTCGGCAGCGTTTGAGGCTACGGCAGCAACTTGCTTAATGCTTAATGGGGGTTAATGAAAATTAGACAACTAGCTCATATTCATACAAACACCCTTGAGAGAGCATCTTCTGGTAGGATATTAAAGATATACAAAATAGTGTAAACAAATTGATGAGAATTTTTTTGATGGTCGTGCAGGTTCAACGCCGCTTTGCTTGGTTGTGTATCTAGACACCGACTGAGGATTCCGCAGCAGGCGGTCGGCTTTGCTGGTTGTGGTCTATATGTTCAAAGGCGTCATGAAAAAGGGTTGAATTCGAGCAGTGCCACGGCCCGAAGGCCTTCTCAGTTTCACCGCTGTGATTCACTGTGCGAGTGGACACGGCGTGGGACGTAAGCTGCACTTGCTTACTGACAAAGGAGGGTTAATAAAACAATACATGGACTGAAAAACATCAAAACACAGCGAGCATCGTTTCCAAATCCAAGAGGGACAAACACCAAAAAAGAACATTTCAGAACTCGTGTCGAGGAAGGTCCATTTTTTTACAATCTAACACTGGATTGTGTTTTTAGTTCATAGTAAGACACAGCAGGAAAATTGAGATGCATAAAGTCCTGCCTGGTTTGCACTGCTGTACAAGACTGCCACCTGGTGGTAAGAGACAGCAGCACCCACAGGAAATGAGGTGGGCATATTGGGAGGATGGATGATTTCAGTAGACCCATTACAAAATAAAGCATCGGAATTAAGGCTACAATTCAAAATAATAAACTGTAATTACTATTTGGGGAAAGTAATGAATAATTGGCCAGAATTGGTCAAATTAGTCCGTGCAGAGACCAACACAACCAAGCGCAGTTTGTCAAAATAATATTAAATTATTAAATTGCCATCCGTACATCTGTGTGTCCATGAATGGGTGTAACCAACATGTTTATTTACTGCTGTAAACCAAACAGCACGTCGGTAGGCAGAGTTACTCTGAACAGACCAACAATATTCTGACACGTACTTACGTACTTGATGCACAAACACCAAAATAGCATTAATCCTCCTCTTCCTCAATCTTGGAAAACAAAAAACTACTGGATAATAATTCATTATAATGCTGCCGTTAGAGGGAGATTTGCATGAACCCGACTCCATGCAGAGTACTGGCTGGCTGTTTGTGGGTAACGGCTGGACTCATTGTGATCAGATGCTCAATGTATGCGACACAGCATGAACATAACGTCATTACATGATTTGTAATATCGCACGTAAAGGATGTTCCTGCTTCATGTTGCACCGTGCCGCTTGTGTGTCTTGTGTCTCACCCAGATTGAGCCTGAGGCACAGCGAGCCGAGCCCCCGCAGCACCGCCAGCTGCAGCTTGTAGGCCAGCGTGTGCGTGTAGACGGGACCGGCCTTGGCGCTGATCGGAGCCTGCCGCACCAGAGAGGAGCTCAGCTTGGGCAGAACCTCTTTGGACACCCTCCTCCTCAGGAAGTCTCCGCACGTTTCACCCAGCGTGCACAGCACCTGGCGGACAGAGTGAGTACACAGCGGTTCCGTCAGGTTCTGTCACTTCATCGGGGAATATCTCAGATAAAAGATACAACACTGGTCCAAATGAGGACAAGCGGACAAATCCGCTATGACAGGAGACTCAGGGGACACACACAAGCCTGAGGAGAAAGCTAGAGGGATTTATTTTTAAATAGTTTGAAATAAAACAGTTCAAGGATGAAAAATCGGTGACTGTTCTGTCAGGTTTGTTATATGTTCAAACTGCATCAACTAGCAAATCAACAGTTTTCAGGGGAAGCCGATTTTACCGCTTAGTACGACAACTGAGTGAATAGACCGAGTGACTTGTGTGACGTACCCTGAAGGCCCGGAGGACAGCTAGGGGGTCATCGGCGGTGAGTCTCTGGAGGAGGGCGGGCCAGCAGCGATGGGCCAGAGGCAGCAGCTCGTCTTCCCGCTCACTCAGAACACACACGCACAGCTCCAGCACGTCCAGCGCCTGAGGACAGACAATGCAAACTGCAAACTGCTTCAGCTGAACCCGGGCGGTGGATTTAATCTAATTTCGGATTATTTTCACTGATTATCACTGATGCAGAAGATGTATTTCCCCCTTTTTACTGTCTTGGCTCCATGACTTCACAGCATCAATAAGCATTCTAGCCACCTAAACTAAATCAATAAATAAAAAAAATTCTGTTCAGTTCTCTGTAGCAAGGCGGTCCGACGCCGAGCAAAGTGGTGAAGATGTTCTAAATATAGCGCTCACATAAACGGATATTGATTTCTTTAAGGTTCTGTCAGGTGGCTGAAAACAACACATTGCTTTGTTCCCGTCTCATTCCTCCTTTTATACCCACGGTGTGAAGTGTGTGACACAATGACTATGGATGAGTACCAAAGAACAACTTGTAATAATTCATAATGAAGTTAAAGTGGTTTTCAGCCAGCTTTAGCATGAGGTGTTATTACCAAATATCATACTTTGATAACTCATTCCTTTCTACAGTCGCTAAGCACTTATTACAATAAAGAAAACAATCCCCATCAGGATTATTATCCTCAAACCAACGTTTCCCTTCTGCCCAGGGACGGCACCTTGAGTCGCAGCCTGAGACACGGGTCCGACAGCAGGTGAACGCAGCGCTCCATGACATCTTTGGTGGTGCTGAGGTGGGCGGGCAGCTCTACTTTCACGTCAGGACCACCGATATCATCAACATCCTCACACTGGGTGGGAGGAGGGACTTCTGGAGAGACAGTGACGGTCAGATCCACCCACTGCTTTTGGCTTTCATCATTCACACGTCATTGTTACTCATGCTACTCTACAACAGTTCCTCTACAACAATATGAATCCTACACTACAAGCAAATATCACTGTTGCGTCCCCGTACAGACACAGCGCTGTCTTACCAAGGTCTTCGGCGTCGTCCTCCTCTATTCCAACGCCCTCTGCCAGCTCCTTCTGCTTACGGAGATCCAGCAGGTAGTGGCGGATGTCGAGGACGTCCTCGGGAGAGGAGGTGTGTTTGGATCCGGCAGATTCACGCGTCTTTGCACGACTAGAGGGGAACCACCTCGCTAAGAGGAAGAAGAGCAGCAAGAGCAGGCTGGGTCAGCAACGCAAAGCACCTGCATGCGATATCCATTTCCTTTTTAATAGTAATGTTTCCACTATCATTGAGTGGAATTCTCAAATACAGTGAGGCCCAGTACGGTGCGGGCCATGAGAATTCATCCTTTTAGCCCACACCACATGGTGGTAAAGAGAGACGGTCACTGTTGAGGGCTCACCGAGGGCCTTCATGAGCGCGTGCAGCACCGAGCAGAAGAGCGCGGCCGTGTGCGCGTAGCTGAGATCCAGAGCCGTCAGCACATCCTGAACGACGTCCCCGACCAGAGGCAGCAGGCTGCAGTCCGAGTGCGTCAGCATCACTGTCAACACCCGCGGAGCCTGGCCAACGACACGTGAACATGAGGAACCACATGCTTGGTGCCGCTCGCATGCCAGAAGACTCCAAACATCGATGTCATTAATGACTGTAGACTCGACCTGACAAAACTCAACACCAACTTTAACCCCAATGACTGAAAATATTAAAGATATGTGTCCTGAAACAGTTTGAGTCAGTCTTTGAATTGTGAATTGGCAGCAGTTAATCACGTTGCTCCAGCCAGAGGAAGAGGGACTCTGACAACAGATGATTAGTAGATTCAGATATAAAACAAAAAAAGGAAAAACATTCAGATTAGATATTACGAATGATTGATGTGTCATGTGAATAATATCAGGTACCAAACCTGAAATTTGTTGCCGTTTATTTGAAACCAATGAATCAAACGGAGCATTTATGATTATTCTTAAGTTACTATGCTGTTACTGTGTGACAAATGAAATGTAGTAAAGGCTGCGTAATTACATAATTAGTACTCAAGACCCAATAGTTTAGGAATTCAACTAGAATCTTGAAACTGGGAAGATTTAATTGTATGAACCGAGCAGAAATGACAATAAAGTCATATAAAAATCAGATGGCCGAAGTATTCTGATGTGGATTAGATGTTATCCTACATCCTAAATACTGTTACCGTTTTGTAAATTGGACTTAACTAGATGTCTCCTTCTCCAACCTATGGCAGCTTATTTTCCTTATTTTATTACATTCTTACTTAAAATGGGCCAGTTGGGTCAACAACACGAGCAAATAGATGGATCATCAATAATTGTTAGTTGCTGCCATACTTATTTTCATGCAACTATATCCGCTCATGTAACATCACAATGTATTTGGACTAAACTATAAAATCCACTAGATTTTTGTGCATTTTCTTGTTATATATTTTTGTTTTTTTCGTTAAATGACCTTGCGAGGTTTGTCTCTCCTCCTAACGAGGAAGCAAGCTGTGGTTACGTTACCTGTGGGTGCTGGCCGAGCCTCTGCAGGTTGAGCGATACGTCGTTGAGCAGGTAGTCGGAGTTGTCGTTGATCAGCTCCTTCAGGGAGTCGTAGCCACAGGCCTCACTGACGTGCCGCATGCAGCCCAGCGCTGCCTGGCTGACCAGCAGCGTCTCCTCCCCGGCTTTCTCCAGCACGGGATACAGTGATGTCATCAAAAGGGGCCGAAAGTCGGGTCCCAGTGCCTGAGCAAAGTGGGCGACGCCCTCGAGTTGGATGCACAGCTGCCAGATGTTGCTGTTGAGCTGGTGAATTGTGGAGGTTGACGACGAGGAAGGTGGAGCGCCGGATGAAGAAGGAATCACTTGGAGAGAGTTCGCCTTGGTGTTTGTGGCGACATTATTGTTGGATATGGAGAGGAGTCCCAAAGGGCTGAGTAGCTACAGAAAGACAAATGTCACCATCATGCCTCAAATAGTTTTCCTGAGCTATTGACAAAAGGTCCATAAAAGAGATAATGATGAATCTTTGCTGATTAAAGTCCACTGAAACACAAATTCAATGGTAAAGTGCCTCAAGACACCACACACTGACAGGAGCACGTGTTTTATGGTGAAGGAAATGCACTCAAAATGTTATTTAAGTTTCAATGGAAAACCCAATGCATCATGGGAATAAACAAGGAAAGTCTACAGAAATAAAAACAGCAGGAGAACTGTTAGTACGACATAGAGGCACGCGGTGTTCTGGGTCATCTGATAGTGAGAACGCTTGTTCGTCGATGTTTATAACCTTGTGGTGCCAAAGATGATTGTCCACATCCGAGGTCGACTCCCGGCACTTTATGCCCCCCCGTGCCCCCCCGTTTTAGCATGTTTATCTTCCACTTTAGACAACTTTATGAGCTTGGCGTGATGGTGGCACATGGAGTAGAGAGGGTGCATCCAACCTAACCTAACCGCCGGCAACCTCTAGGTTGGCAGTTCGATTCCCGGCTGCTCCATGTCCCATGTCAAAGTGTCCCTGAGCAAGACACCTGACCCCTAATTGCTCCCTGGGCAAAACTACAAAAAGCCATGGGTTAAAAAAATGTAATGTGAGTCGCTTTGGATAAAAGCGTCTGCTAAATGACCTGTAATGTAAATGTAATATGTGTGTCAACTTTAACTTTCTAGTTAACTTTCATTTTACAACAAAACCCAGCAATATCACTGTATTCCAAGTACATTGTACTACTATATTGTTTGGCTTTCCTGTACACAATGATTGTAACTAGCATCAGCCATCTGTAACCTGCTCACTGCGTTCATGTATCCACTACAATGCTTATTTAATGTAATCAGCAGGACTTGAGGGAGGAGTCTCTGCAGTGGACAAACCTTCCCTCTGACAATATATTTCTGTGCTTAGATTCCTTTTCCTTGGGTGGGGGGGCCTCTGGGCAAACATTTCAGCTGACAAAGAGAAACTGAACGTTTATCTGTATGAGAACATAACGCTAACAATGTTTTCAGGCCCTGTTGGCCTCGAAAGCTTCGAGCTGTCCCTTGAATCCGTGAGCTAGAGGACTTTTGGCTCTGCACTCACGCTTTCCTTTAGCTGTTGTTTGATGCACCAGCGGGAGGAGGGACGGGTGAAAGGGAAGGTTTGCAGATTAGCTTTTATAATCCACAAATTCATTCACTGGTGAGGCTAGCTGGTCCCTCAAAGTTATATTTTACTCGATTACTTTTTGCAACCAGTTACAGAAGCTAAAATTGTCACTCGTCACTTATTATATACATCATCACGTCAGTTATGATCATTTCATTTGCATAACAACTAACTAACCCTTTCCTGATTTATGCCTCATTCACCTCAGAAGCAACAAAGCAACCAGCCATCTTCAATGGAAGCTGGTGATACGAAACAACAAAGTGACTCCCAACGCCAGCTTAATCGTCCCTATAAAAATATTCAACAACAACTAGGGCCGCGTGGGCAACTGTGGGCCTCCTCACCTGCTGGTCCTGTCGGTCTCTCTCCGTCTCCTCGCTGACGGTTATCAAGTGCCAGTTGTGCAGACTGGTGTATTCCTCCATGACAGACACCACCGCCACTTTAAGGTCCTCCCGGCTGGCAGAGTGTCCCCGAACTGGACTCCCAAGACCGTGACCCGCTGTTGCCACGCCGATGCCCGCTGCTCCCCGGACAATCTCATTGAGCGCCATGGCCGCCTGCTTTCTGTATGCGGAGGACTGTTGGTACAGATCCAGGAAGTGATCCGTCAGCAGGTAAATGTTGCCGTAGTAGCCTGAATATAGACAGGAAAAGCTACTTGTTATATTTGTGATATTTGAAGGAGAGCTGTTAGCATAATAAATGTAAACCAAGTGGCTGCATTGCAGATTCAAAACTTCTTGAATTTCCCCTCGGGGATCAATAAAGTACTTCTATTCTAAAACATTGAAATATGATGCATTATTATTCATTAAACTTCAGCATCTTATTAGAATAAAATGCTCCACCTTGACAGAAATGACGTCTCTTTCACTTCAAACATTACAATGCAGGCACTTGGCACTCTTAACAGTTACTATTAATGGTTAGTTTGAATTATTAATAGTTTAAAGTAATCATTCTATCACTGCCAGTCGCAACTATACCAGCTTGACAAAGGGTGAATGGTAAAGCCAGACTATGTTTCCCTGGCACCCAAAACCACTAAATATGTCCCTGAAAGAACACACGGTGAGATTAGTCACAGTCAGAAAAAGTGATTAAATACGAGAAGGGATTCACAAATGGAAAATTACTGGTGGAAATAACCACCAAAGCTTCAAAGTACTCATCTAATTAGAAGAGGTATTTTGCTAGCAGTGCAGTTTCAAGTTAGTATTTCAAAATATAAACAGAGGTTCTGCACAGAACAGAAAGTGCTTTGTGCCATTTTAAACATGAAACATATACAAATTACACTAAAATTAAACGACTTCCAACTTCAACTTTCTCCAGTCCAATAGTCGTTTTTTATGCTGGTTAACTTATTTCTGAAAAAACTAACAAGAACTTCTCTGAAAACACACAATTTTAAAGTCATGCTTTTGTGTGGATATTTCTTAAAATCTCCAGACCTGTTGATTAAACCGAGTAATGGATCGACAAATATGGATTAAGAATTTCCCAGCACTAGCAGCAATACACCTGGGTGGAGCGGATTGGGATTAGCGGTTACTGACATACGGGGAGAACAGAGAGACAGGCTCCTTGCTTGTTAGATTATGGGTCAGTATCAGTGAGCTGAGCATTAGTCTGTTCAGTTCTTCATAACCCTTTTCCATTAAATAGCGTTATATTTACTGAGGGATAAGGAATGTGCTGAACATCATCTACCTCAGGTCCATGGGGAAACGCACTCGTACCTAATGTTCGACAGATCTCCATAAGCGCAGAGAAGATCTTCTCATCTGTGAAGTAGAGAAAATGCTTCCTCTGTATGTGAGCAGCATAAGAATCCTGAGATCCCGGGCTCGTCTCTATGGCAACAGCGTAACTTCTTTCCTCCACAATGTGGACATCCATCACATCCAGCTCAAGCACCTGCAAAGGCATACAAGGAGGCCAGAGGGGTAATAATGCAAGTACCAAACCAAAAGAAATGTATGACATGAGTCTAGTCCTCTTTGACATTTGCTGCCTTTAAATAAAACTGCACTGCAACTTGTATTCCTGTTTGTTGTTTTAATGTCTGTTATTACGTTATTCTTTTCACATTTGCCTGATGTTCTCATGGTTTCATGTGAATCACTTTGAATGGCCTGATGTAGAAAGGTGCTAAACAAATGATGTGCCTCACCTTGTATGCGACACATACCATGTATAAAATATACCTTTGTAATAGTATTGTAAATGTATTTGCAATACTAAACCGGCGGCATACAGAAGAAGGTTTTGAAACGAAGCAGCAGCACGGGGACCATTTCCTTTTGCATGCACACATGTTGCAGTAGACAACCCAAATACAGTCACGCACCCGAGCTTATGTCCCCTTAAACGACAATAATGAAGCAACGCTTAATCGGCTGACAGATTACCTGCATCAGGGCTTTGGAAATCCTCTCGAGGTGCGCAGCAGAGTTCAGCACCACGGAGACGGTCGGTCCCAGGACTTTCAAATAACCCAGGAACACGTTGAGGACAAAGAGCTTCTTCTGGTCATCGGATGTCCTCATCAGTCTGGGCAGAGAGGTGGCCAAGGAGTGGAGATTCTCTGAAAGCACGTCTGTGAAGGTCTGAGCACTGCTGCCGGCGACGCCGCTCTGATTCCTCTGTGACACCTCGCAGAGGACACCTTCGCATCTGGAGGACAAGGACGGGACAGGAGAGGACTTTCATTGACCATCTTGTTTAAGTAGTTTGGTTACTTAGCGTTGTCAAATCAAACCTTTTCCTGACTCTGGGCTCCTCGTCGTTGACTGCTCCCACCAGTGCTTCCAGTAGCGGCCCCACACACTCTCCCAGTGACTGGCTACACCTGGCCAGCAAGTGGTTATCCAGCTCCACCATCTCTAGTCGGACCCTCCAGTGCAGGTGGGACGAGGTGCAGGAGATGATCTTCCTCAGGAGCACGGACAGTTTCCCTGCCGTGCTCTTCACCCAGGCCGGCGTCCGGAGGACCATCAGCTGAGCGATTCGCCCCAAGTCTGCTGAGGGAGTTTCGCTGGGCTCGCCGGCCCGAATCTGGGCATCTTCCATGACGAGCCCCACAGTCCTAGACATGACCTGAATGACAACAAAAGTGATACAATCTACAGTTCACTTTGCGCTCTTTTATACGTGTTCAGTTAACCATCAATTAGTCAGCAAATCCAAAGAAATGACTTCCCATTTAACAATATATTTGTTTTTGTCATTTTCTGTGTCCTAGCAGTAATTTGATGACATGACAGTTTTCATTATGTTAAGGTCGAGTGAGGCAAAAAAATCTAACTTTATAACATGAATACTGTATTTTGGCCCTTAGATGATATTATATGTCAGCATTGAAATGCCTCTGGAACCACATATAGACTATCTAGAGACACTCTCTTTTCAGTAACGGATTATATAATATAGTGAATATTTATAATATAAAGTTTGAAGATCAACTAAATATTAATGGAGAGTTCATCTAAAACCTAAAGCAATCAATAAATAGTTTTAGATTCATTTTGGAAGGAAGGAATTGAAAGTAAATTGTTTTGCAGTAAAAATACCTTGCAGAGGTACCTGACCGAGGTCAACAGTGACACAATTAACTTGCATCGTCACGAGAGGAATTATGGATCAACACAGAGCTGCGTTACCTTGATGGCCCTGATTGTGACTGCGTGTCCTTGTCTCAGATCTCCGGTAATGATCCTGGCCACGGCCACAGTGATCCCAGGTAAGAATGAAGCCAAGGTTCTGCCCATCGCGCATCTCTCCTCCGTGGATGGGACCACATGCTCCTGAGTGCAGTCACACTGCAGAGTCAACGACTGGAGGCACTTCAACGCCGCTGCCTGCACGTCTCGGCATTTCTCCTTCTCCGCTAAGGCCAGCAGCAACGATATGGCAGCGCCGAGTCCCGGCAGCATGACCGGTTCGAAGAGTTTGAAGACTATATCACCGTAAGCGGCGTGAAGCAGCGCGTCCAGGCACCTCAGCACGGACGACTTGAGCTCTTCCGACGTGTCTGCGGGTTTCCCGGGATCCGTTGGCGAGCACAGGCAGAGGCAAAGCTCCGAGAGGAGCTCGCGGAGGGTCTCCCAGCTCTGGACACAAGTGTTCTCGAGGACGTGGCTCACGGCCTCCGCCACGGACTGCACCAGCTTTTCGTCCTTGGGCCCGGGGACTTTGAGGACAAAGCGAAGAGGGAAGAGGACGTACTCCTGCAGCTGCTGCAAGGTGGCATCGTTGACTTCTTTTAGCTGGCCGCTCAGTGTCTCCACGTTGGTCACAGTGGGCGCTCGGGTGAGGAGGACGCAGGCCGGGCGCAGGTAGGCAAAGGCGATCTTGGGATCATTGATCTGAGCCATGACCGGAGGCATGACAGCAGGGGCCTCTTTGTTGAGGAGATGCTGAAGAAGGACTGGGAGGTGAGAGAATTGAGTATCAGGAGGAATTTTCTGGTCAATGGTATCATATTTTGTTAATGCCATCACTGAAAATAAACTGCTTCTTGGCAGGTATACTAAAAACTTTATTGTGTAGGAAAATAAACTGATTTATATCAAACTCTCTCTGCGGTCATCGTAGTAACCACTAGCATTACCTCAACCCTGATGCTTCTACATGCTAAAGAAGTCCATGATAATGTATAGTCAGCATTGATGGTGTTACATGTTGCCTGAGACTTACGTACATTCTGGAGCTCACGTTAAGTCTGTATTGAGCTAACTGTATGTACAATGCTAAGTGCCCACCGTGACAACGTTGAAACTTTATTTAAAATAAGATCTACACACATAGGACATTACGTCGAGGCAGAAGCAGCAGAACATCTACCGTTGAAGTTACACCTTCGATGTAAACGATAAGTTAGTCTAAGTTAAGTTAGTTATCTGACAACATTGACCATGCGACTAAAGCTGCTAGCCTACCTTCACATTGGGAGTATTAGGTGGACCAGCTGCGCGAGGCAATAATCCATAGAAGAGGTTTCATTTGAAATGGAAAAACATAACATCAGACACACATGAAGCTGCTGAACGCCATCGAGGCGTGACGTCATGATTCTGCGTCGAAGGCACATGTGCGACGGAAAGCAAAGAAAGACTTCCGGGTACGGAGATTTATCTTCAAAATAAAGCATCGGGTTTTACAGTGAGAAAGAAAAACCTTTCCCTGTACTAATGTGTGAATCTTGCAATGTTAATGAATGGTTGCTAATTGAAGACAATATTTGAAGTTAATGGTTTTATACTTACATTTCGGAACAGAAATTTCAAATGTTTCATTATAGAGAATGGGGATGTATTTGTTCAAACAGGCCATCGCATGACATAGTCTAATAAAAAGGAATTATCTGGAATTAGGCTCTAGCTCAACACTTGAAAGGTGCATTTGTAATTTTAGTGGTGGTTAGAACAACAGACACATGTAAATAAAGGTCCATATCTACGGTCAGAGGGTCGGGACCATCGTATGTCGGAACACATCTGTTTTATTTTGACAGAGGAGATAATTCACTCTGCGGATCCACCAGTCATTCTCTACTGTTAGCTTGATACCACACCGGTTACGGTGGTTTTCGGCTGGCTGAATTTAGAATTAGAATTACTACATTTCGTAACATAACACATGTTTTCATGGCTGTCACTTTTTCCGTTGGTGCAGTGGACAGCAGACCGCCGGGCTAATTACAAAGGTAATGCTAGTTATTGCTATCAATTGTTAAAGTTAGCCTAAATACGGCTAACATCGAGCTAAAACTAGCTCTAAAAGGAAGCTTGGTTCTCTATGCAAAAGCTGTGTTACATATTACTCACTCCATGAAGCCCCTTTAGGTCGAGGGGCTTCATGGCTGAAGCTTCCATAACAGACCTTCAGTGTAGAAAGTAACGTTTCTTGTACCACACAAGTTACTTTGTAGCGTTGATTCAGTGGAAACATGACGTTATTTACGTGACCTAAGTTTAAATCCTTGATCACAGTCACCTGCTCTGCTGCCGTGTAACTGATTAAAAACGATCCCGGGAAAGGATCTTGTGTGATAATACGTACCCAGGTGTCTCGGAGGCTTGATGCTGTCCATTCCTGTCCTCCCCTGTGCCCAGTATCATCATGGATGAAGAAACCCTTGAGGCAGCCATCAGCTCCTATGGCGCCCAGCTGCAGCAGGTGGAGGCAGCCCTGTCAGCTGGCCTGGACCCTTCCCATCAGTCAGACCTGCTCAAGCTGAAAGACGACCTCCGTCAGCTCATAGAGCTCACCGAGTCCAGCCTGGTGTCTGTCAAGAAGAGTCAGCTCCTGGCCAGCCTCGAGGAGGGTCATGGACTGCAGGCAAACACCTCCGAGGCGGCACGCGCTGACACAAACGGTGCAAACGGTGGTTTGGACGGCGAGATGGCGGCTTTCTACTCCAAACTCGGGGAGTCATCAGGTAGTAGCTCTGATCCGAGAGACAGGGACAATGGGGACGACGGGGAGGAATATGACGAGGAGGAGGAGGAAGAAGATGCCCTCAGTGGTACGAAAGTGAGAGCGCCCTACCGGACAACATGGGGGACATTGGAGTATCACAATGCCATGGTGGTGGGGGCAGAACCGTCGGATGGAGAAGAGGCAAAAGTAAGAGTGCTCTACGTCTGCCCCACCCAGAAGTCTATGAAACCCTGTCCATACCACCTAGAGGACAAATGCCGCTTCCTGGAGAATTGCAGGTAGACTACCACTGTTTTGTTGCTCATGCTGTATGTTAACTGGCCCATTTCTGCCTTCTTTGTGTTTGTGAATATCATCCAGCACGTGTCGCCCGTCATCCACTTAATAGTGACCTCGCAAAACAAAGCAAAAAACAAACGAGTCATGGGAGATGTTTTATTTGAACTTTTTAATTGAGTCCTTTAATTCTCACCATATTAATCAGCACTGGTCCATTACTGTATGAAGGATTTCTCTTTTTCCACAGAGAGAAACTTTGTTTTTGTGTGTAACTTGAACATGCCATGATTGTTAAATCCCTCAATCACCTACTACATATTATACTCATATCGCAGTTGTGTTTCCCTTTTTTCATGCATTTACTTTAAAGATTTTCTCATGGCGAGGTGGTGTATGTGTCGGAGCTCAGAGAGTTCCTAGAGTTTGACCTCAGTAACCTTGAGGAGGGCTCCTGCTGCTTGGCTCGACATGAGGACGGCATCTGGTACCCCGCCAGAATCACAGGTATTCCGCTGAGAGGGCAACTTCGGTTGCACTTGAATTGTGTTTCCTTGTTGAAAATCTTCATCAAGCATCTGAATACAATTGTACAATCATCACAAAACAACCAGAAACGGTGGTCCTGTTGTTGGCACGTTTTGCTGATTACATGTTTTTTTCCCTGCATGTAGATATTGACAGTGGTTTCTACACTGTGAAATTTGACTCGGTGCTGCTGAAAGATGTTGTGGTCGAGGCCGACTGCATCATCCCGCCTCTGAGGGAAGACGACCCGCTCTCGTCTGATTCTGACCTGGACGACACTGAAGACGGGCATTTGGCTTTTGCGAAAGGTGTTTATGGGTTGTGTGTCGCCATGCTTCTGCTAATCAAACCATTAGCTCGTCTTCGAAATCGTGCAAAATATCAACCGTGACGTTTGTGTATTTTCGTAGAACTGTGGAGGTGAGTTATAACCCTCACACAGTTGTGTCCTAGTATTCTATCCTACTTCCCAGTAGATATTTTAACATTCAAATTTGTCTGAAAGTTGTTTGACAAAGTGACTCACCGTTTCTACTTTAATTTTAACCTGCTACCCAACAGTTATGGACACCGCTGTGGAATCCACAGAAACGGTAAACAGTGCAAATTTTGGTGGCTGGGAGGCGCATACCAGAGGCATCGGATCAAAGCTTATGCTCAAAATGGGATATGAATATGGGAAAGGTAAGTGCAAGTGCACAACATTAACCACATTTAACAAAAGGCACATTTTCACCACAAAAACAGAATAACTTTTGCAACGGTATTTATATTGCACTAACCAAATTTGAAGTTGATCAGATTAAATCTGTTTGAGAAGTCTTTAAAGTTAAGCAAATGTAAAAAAGAGAAAATTACAGTTTTACATTTTATAAATGTAGGTCAATAGATGAATTTGCACTAATAGTGATTTTTTGCATTTCAACAAGGTAGTTATGCCAATGTGTCCCACCCTTATAAAACTGTTTTTATTCTCTTTATCACATGCAAGCAAAGCTTCATAGCCAACGCAGCGCACAGACCGTGGTGTTGTCATAGCAGGACGATGCCGGTTTGAACTCACCCGAGGCCGACTGGGACACATTTACAATGTTCTCCATTGGGTTGTCTCCTACCCCAAACGCATTTATGCCCCATTTCCAAAAGCTTTCCTCCTCTGCCCTTGACCGAAGCATTTAGACTCAAAACATGAGTTGCTCCTTGGGCAGGAGATGTTATATTGCACATGTTGATGGGCATACATGTATAATACAGTAATAATAGTTAATAGTAATAAGGCACTTGTTGACAAGACACCAAGAGTCGTTCTGCATGAACCTTCCTGTTTCCTCAGGCTTGGGGAAGATGCAGGAGGGTCGAGTGGAGCCGGTCATGGCGGTGGTCCTTCCCAAACGCAGGTCTCTGGACCAGTGTGCCGAGCTCACCCACAGACGCACCCAGAGCAAGGTCTCCGAAGACGGCACCCCAAAGGGCCGCCGAAAGAGACGCAGGAAGCCTCGGGTGGCCACCGGAGGGCGCCGTACCGTATTTGACTTTCTCAACCAGAAGCTCGAAGGCAAGAGCACTGCTCCTGTCAAGGAGGGGGCCGCCGCGGCGGCGGCGACGACGGCCACAGCGGCGGCAACAGGGGTGGAAGCTTACAGGGGGGGGAAAAGCACCAAGAGGACTCTGAACGTGAAGGTGTTCCAGGCCGCGGAGAGGGTGTCCCAGACCGAGAGGGAGATCCAGAAACTGACCGACACACTCAGCAGACAGACGGGCCGGTCAGTCCACACTCGTCACTTATTATATACATCATGACGTCAGTTATGATCATTTCATTCGCATAACAACCTCCTCCATGGAGAGTGCAGACACATAAGCCATTGCCTGCACACAAAACCAGACTGTAAATGAGGAGCCTGGTGGTGAGACGCTTGTTTTCCGCCTGCTTATTATGCACAGTGCATCTGAAACCAGCTCGTCTCCCCTCTCCCCCCGCGTCCCCGCGCTCTAACCTTCCTGTGATTTGTGTGTGCAAAGGGACTCCTCCAGAGTGAAGCAGCTGGAGGAGAAGCTGTCGGCGGCTCGGCGGCTGCTGGCCCAGCAGAAAGCCCACGAGCTGTCCATCCAGAGCGAGCACAGGAAGGCCGACACGCACAAGAAGATGACGGAGTTTTAAGATCGCTCGTCTCATAAGACTCTGACGATGAGGAGAAGCGCTGCCAGCCTGAAATTAACTTTTGGCCCCCGAACCGTTGTCTTGTTTTTGCCATATATTTTTAAGCATCATCTCTCGCCTCAACTTGGCTGTTATGCCCATTGTTTGCTGAACCTCCTTTCTGCTTGTCATTATAAAGAATTCGAGGACTGTGCAGTTTTATTTTGTGCGTACAGCTGTTGGGTTTCTTATATATATTTTATTTGTGATGAGCATTTTGTGTTTTTCTTCATCACGACTAAAAACCTTGTGTTTGGAGAAGCTCATGTGCATTCATTCATTTCATTCTTTTCTCACTATACCATCAAATGTTTTATGTGTTCTTCGGTTTTACTTTTCAGAAGGAAATTTGAATAATTCTAGCTTGAGGCTGCTCCTCTCTACCTTTTTCTTGCATTTCAAACTGACTTTTAAAAACCTCAGGACTTTTAAAAGTCCTCCCAATCTCAGGTGTTGGGAGACCTTTGCTCAGTTTTGAAGTGAAGCTCACGCCTCTTACCGGCTGATACGCAGCATCTTTGAAGCAACGACCATAACCCTTTTTATAAAATAATGAATTTGGAGAGCACCTTGTCTGACGCACATTGTGTGTAGGCGGTATGTGGGTTGAGTGGGGACTGCATCCAACTTTAGGTTGAGGTGTTAGATTAGGTCATACTTATGAACAATTTCTTTTTTTTTTATGCGATGCAGCATAAAACGGAAAAATACTGTATTTGTTCAATTTTTTTTTTAATAAAAAGGCCTTTTTGAAGAATCAGTAAGGTGGACATTTAAAGTTCAGTGTGACCCTGAGTACATAAAATGAAGTTGGACAACTGGTGACCATCAGCATTATTCCCTGAGGGGAAAGCGATAGTGAATACCTCATGTTGAAGCCATCAGCTGGGAGATACGGAGCACTCTGTAAACCCCTCTGAAGTCTCGGTGTCCCGAGGGAAGACCCCGCTCGCGCCGCAATCTGTTAAGTGGCAGCACTTTCAGATTGCCGGTGTCTGGAAGGATCACACCGGAATGGCTGATCGTTGGCGGGTGGCAAACAGGCAGCGCGTGAGCTGATTTAATGGGATCCCTCGAGGGCCTGTGCTTCACACTTTACCCCGTCTCCGGGTCCCCAGCGGTGTCACAGCACAAGCAACAGCAGAGTCACTGCGCTCGTGTCCCAAGTTTCTACATCCTTGGTTGGTCTGTATGCAATGCACACACCCGCCGGCGTCGGCCTGGTGTGTGCATTCAGGTTTGGCCTTTTAGGGGAGTTTTCTCTGCTAATCGGCACTCATGAGGGTCTGGATTATGTGATTAACGGGATGTGATGATAAAATGGATTGGAAGGCCACCGTGACAGATGTTTTACTCAGGAATTCACTTTGGGCTGTGAGGGTTGCCAGGCTACGGGGGATGAACAATGGCCGACAAACGAGTAGAGCAGGTTGTCCTACCTGCTTCCCTGCGGTTCCAATTGAGATCACATTCTCTAATAACTAACAAAGTTGCACATCTTTGAACTATTCAACCCTTTTTTTCTCTTTGTTAGAACCCCCATGAACGATTATTCTAGATCCTGTATATATGACAGTCATGGTGTGGAGTGGTTTCAGGGTTCACGTTTCGCTCTGTTGATGACATAAACCAGTCAGCTGACATATCACATCAGTATTTCTGTGACGGTGGGGTTGAAGTTGTCGTGGCGATGAATCTGTTGACACGGTGGCACGGTGGCCACTTTGGCAGCACGACTCGTCTTTGGCAGACGGTCAGTCTCGCTGCTTCGGACCTCAACAAAAGCTAAAGGAATTGACCAACATTTGATATAAACCTTCATGTTCCTCAGATGATGAAGCCTAATGACTCCGGTGATCCTCTGACCTCTTCATTAGTGTCACTGGTGATATTGAATTATCTTGTGAAATATGAACCGTATGGATTGGCACGTTTTTAGCGTATTAGGCATAATTAATCTGTATTACAACCAAGCTAACTGCTTAAACTGAGGATGTTTATGTGATATGGTTCAATTCTTATGAAACCACATAACCAGGCAGTAGAACAGTTATAACCAGCTGCTGACAACTGTCCACATTTTAATGCAGACATTGCACAGACATATGCTTCAAATAGTGTTTGTATTCAAAATAGTGTACTGTATTATTAGGACCACCTACCTTTATCCTCAAAAAACAGTGCCCCTTTATTTCAATTTCTACATGCATCTTTACCTTTTAAAATTTTGCTTTTAACATCGTACAACAGTAACGAGTCCGTTGGGATACTGTAACTAATATGTGTATCCACTAATATGTGTATCCACACTTATATACATACAATACTTATATCCATAACTAACGTGTATCTGCAGAGACAATCCCTTAATCAAAACTAGCATTGGCGGTCTATTTTTCATCAAAGTAAATTGGACAAATTAACATTTAGCTGTAATATCTTTCCTTACTTGCGTGGCATTTTGCTGAGCTTTCTTAAGGGCAGCCGATACGGAGGACCTTTATGGAGCTCCATAACGTGACCTGCACATTTGTAATTTGCCTTGGTACAATAGAATAATAATACCAGAATTTTAAATATGGAATCCCTGCTGAAAAGACATGGCTTATCATATCATGGAAATGAGCTTGTAGCTTAATATAAAGACCAATTCTCGTTTATTGTGTTTCCAGAGAAAACTGGTAAGATAAATGGAAAGAAATATTCATTTATATATGAAACTTTGCATGCACACAAAAGAATAACTTAAGCTAATCTGGGTTTTTTTTACAATTTGCAGCAAAGCTACTATGTATTTCAGACCATCATTCAGCCTTTCTTCTGCAAATGATGTGTTGGATTGAATAAATAAATATATAGCTCCTCTTAAAGTGCTGTCTTTCCATATTGTGCTTGATTGCAATTTTCCCCTGTGGGTTTTCACATAATAATCAATGGTTGGTCCTGTGCCATTGGAAATATAATAGTTTATTGGCAGAGGTCAAGATTAAGGTCATCCCTGTGGGCATTCGGGTGTAACGTTACATGCTTTTAAATCTAATGCAATCAGGGATGTTACAGAGGTGGAGCAGCAGGATGCGGGTGTACGGGGACAGACATCCACTTCAAAAGCATCGGTACTCACGCACCGTGCTGTGAATGGATTGGGTCTAGTCTACATGGTTGAAATACACTTATTATAAGTCGTTTTGGATAAAAGCGCCAGCTAAATGACATGTCATTTAATGTAATGTAATCATATACAGCTAGATGACCTGATGCGATATTGTCGTATGGCCATTTTGAGCATCACCTTCACAGACGTCCCCACATGATAACCCTAAACAGTTGCTAGAATTCAGCACAAATGTTGTATTTTTGGCAAAAAAAAAGTTTTTTTTGAATATTTCTGCATGGGCCCCTAATTTGCAATTAGAAAATGCAGAAACTCTTGTGGTGCAAATGCGCTCAGATGACTTCTTGTGTGATGATGTGAGTCTCCATATCAGCCATGGGTCTGATTGAAAGTTGATTTCACTTTAAAATGACCTGTTGTGACCTCTCGGATAATCACAGCCTCATGAAACTGTACATCCACACATTAGGGACCATTGGCATTCAGATGACTTATGGATTCCTAGGAATATTGACAATAAGGGAGTTTCACAGAGAGGGCAGAAGCACTTGACATTCACTCGCCGAAAGGTGGAATTCTCACAGAAATCTTTCAAATGTCAAAACCTCCAAATTACAGTATATTTTCTTCTGTACTGCTCCTCGTGGTCTTACTGCTTATTTTTTAGCAGTTGCAGATATTGAAAAGCAATTAAGCAAAGCTGCAAGTCATCTCTATTAACACGATGATGGTCTTATGGAAAGTTTGGAGCCTTTTCCACAATAAGTTCAGCCTCATGTATTTAATAATAAATTAAAAAAAATACTAATAACTTTTTTTGTATGGTAACGGGTGAACCGCATTTTTATTGTCAAAGTATTTTTTTTTGTTAAGCACTTTTGAAAGCAATACAATTTCCTCCCTTGTCATAAAATGTGTTACCTTGTACACTATGCAGAATACAGTGTGGAGGCTGGTTTTCTTTATTCCAGATACGAATATAAATATATCCCCAAAAATAATGCGGCAGTTTTTTATTGACATTCATCTTTAAATATCAATACCTAAATTGCATTATTATGGCATTGAAAGGCATGCTCAAAAAACAAATAGAAGGAAAAAACATCAAAGCAAACTACTCATTGAACTCTTATTCTACTTATTTAGCGAGCATTTGGAAAGATTTGCAGAGCTTAAGGGGAAGGAAGGGCTGTACATGACTAGAGGGAATTACTTTAAACTCCCTTTTAACTAGGGCAACGACGGCAAGTGCCGTGGTAGCAACATAATAAATATTCAATGGTGTGTTTAAGCCAAACGTTCAACGGGTTCTTTTTATTCTTTTCTTTGTTTTTCTTCTGCAGTGTATGTATGTCAAAGGTGACAACGGGAGCTACACAGCTCAATGTCGAAATGGAGTGGTGGGGAAGGACTGTTGGCCTTTTGCCCTCATAAAGAATTCATAAGGTGAATAGAATCAATGAGAGATATTTCATCCTGTTTCTCCGTGGGCAGCCTTCTGATAACCTGGGCCAAGACCGAGACGTGTCACTTGCAACTTGTAAAAATAAAATACCAGTCTCTTTTTCTTTTAAGAGGTAAGATAGTTCTGCCCTTTAATGACGGGTTTCTAGATCATTCCAGCCAGCCAAGGAGGAAGAAAGAGTCCCACAGATCCCAGTATACACACCAGTACAAACATCCAGAGGAATATCCTGTCAATGACCATGGCCACATACTTCCAGTCCTCCTTCACCTGGCAGAGAAGAGACACAGAAGTTAGTTTTCACCCTTCATTGATTTCCCACGAATGGCTGTTTGTTTCATTATGAGGTGGCTACTGCCTGAATGTCAATCTCTCTCATGTAATTCCCCAATGTCCCAAAGATGGGCTTTTTCTGGCGGGAGAAAGAAAGTACATTGTGGTTCTGACAATGACGAGTGTCAATGAATAATATAACTTTTCCTTACTTCTTTTATTTTAGATAACTGTACACATTTCCAAACTTCATCACTAAAAAAGCTTTCATTATTTTGCAAGCAATTAACACTGAATCAGTGATGTTTTGTAAAATGAATTGTTACTGAATTGTTACTGATTCATTTCAAAGCGATTAACAAGGACAATAAACCCAGTTGTAGTAGGAACATCCACGGTTAGCCTCTACGTTGGGAGTTTTGGAGAGACATGATTTTGAAGAGACAGATGATTAAAGATTGGATATTTCTGCGTGTGGGATCGTACTTGTATACAACATAATTTAAACTGCCAAACTCATTGAAGCCATACTGAGTTTTTATGGCTGTCAAATAGAGATTTAAAAACTATTATCTACTAGATCGAGGCTTTACTGATTATTTAAAGGAAGTTTCAACTCACTGAGAAATCGGCATCCTCTGCCCTGAGATGATCGGCGACGTACTGAACTCCCTCTATGGCGCGTTGCACCGCTGGGGAAATAGTTGGAATGACGATGTCTTGTTGGGTGCTCGCGTCCTTCGTTGACTCGCCCGTGACGCGTCCTGCCGGGTGATTTGTAGGGGCCTGTTTCTTCACCCACCCTGCGACCGCCATGAGCCCAGGCCCTTCACCGTGCAGACAGCAGTACTGGAAGCTGCGGGAGCGACACCGGTGCCCGGCTCTCTGAGAGAGATCCCCCTGTTGGTCAAACATCTGCTCTGCGCTGAGGGAGCGGCCATTTGGGGCCATTGCATTTGGCTCTTCCTGGGAAAAGCTGCGGAGCGGACCCAGCGGCAGAGCTGGGGGAAGGGACAACTGCGAAGAAGATGAAGCATTGGAATTGTGCCCACGTGGGGTTTGCTTCTCAGAGGGAGCTGAATACCGACTGGATGTGGTGCGGCAGAAGACGTTGGCCTTCAGTAGGCGATCGTCCTCCTCGCAATCCTCAGGAGGGGAGGAAGGTGGAGCGGGCGAGCAGACGTGGATGCTTGGACTGTCGCAGGGAGTCTTTGGGAGTGCATTCTCCGCCTGGCACATCTGCCTCAGTCCCGTCTCCAACCCTGTCCAGTAGGCCAGCGAGTTGCCCGTCGCAGATATGGCGGTCGGACGGTGCATCATCTCGATGAGCTTCTTGCAGTGCTGCTTGGCTGTGCCCGGCGGACGCTTCATGAAGAGGACTCGCGGCACCATGTCCAAGAACACTCTCCGCACCCAGTGGGGCATGCTGTGGGTTTGCGGCGACCGATGGTGTACGTTCAAAACAAAGACGGTAATTACGATGGATAGGGTGACGAAGACCATGGTGAACAGCAGATATTCACCAATCAGAGGGATCACCAGCGACGTAGACGGTATGATCTCTGTGATCAGAAGGAGGAATACTGTCAGGGACAGCAGCACCGAGATGCACAGGGTGATCTTCTCCCCACATTGCGACGGCAAATAAAACACCAGCACGGTCAGACAGGAGATCAGGAGACAGGGGATGATGAGGTTGATGGTGTAGAACAACGGAAGCCTCCGGATGATGAAGTAGTAGGTGATGTCGGAGTAGATCTCCGCGCAGCACTCGTACTTCTTGGTGTTGTACTTGCCCACTGCATTAATAATGACCCACTCGCCGCTCTCCCAGTAGTCCATCTGGTCCACGTCGCTGGCCATGCTGATGAGATCGATCTTGGCGCGGTCATAAGTCCACGAGCCAAACTTCATCTTGCAGCTCTGCTGGTCAAATGGGAAGAAGGTGACATCTATGCTGCACGAAGACTTGTAGATGGCCGGCGGCATCCACTTTATCCGACCGTCGTGGAACAGATGTGCCTTCGTGAGGTGAGTCACCGCAAAGTCGCCATCAGCGCTGCGCGTGGGAAAACGAGGTATGAGAGGGGGGAATAGAATCAAGGGTTGCCTTTTCAATAGTTAAGGCAACACCATTAAATAACCTGAACCTGTAACTGGGCAGAAAGCTCAATTTCAGCAAAATGTCGCCGCAATGAGCTGCTTTTGGTGCCGGAGAAGAGATTAAGTGATCTGGACAACTGCCCCATTCTCCTCCGTCATATCCTGCCTCTATAATCTGATCAATCTTTGTTTAAATCCTTCCATGATTTGAGCCTTCAATTACACACTTGAATCCCTCCCATTACTTCCTACTTCATCTGACCTAGTTATCGGTCCACCTTGGTTCAATTAGCTTTAGTACCCAATGAAGTGGCTATCAGTCGCTTCGGGCTGCCTTTCCTCTGCTGTGTCTGCCCATCATGGCCCTCTGGATTCCTACAAGGTTTCCCTTTAGTCTGCTTCACTTTTACATTAAAGGTGGTCAAACATTTTCGTGTAGTCCTGGATTGAAGACCTAAGAAGACGCAATAGTTTACCTCCTCTTTTATCTAAATTGTCCGCAATTGTATTCATTTTGTGTCATTTTTGTTTTCTCATGTAATGAACTTTTAGACGTGCTTTATTAGTTTCTTGAAATCTTGAAATATTTTGTCATGAGAAAACAAATCTTGCTTCAATCTTGACACCAATTTTCTTTGCAGCTGTCTTCCCTGTTTCCTACTCGGGCTCCCAAACTACATGTCTTTTATTTGAGGGCCTTTGAAACACATCCATTACTTTCCATCTTCCAATTCCATGGCTAATGTATCCTTTGCACAATGTACCGAGCTGTGTTTGTACCCACATCCATTAAGGCTGAACTTGTTCACATTTATTCTTGCTAAATTACTTAGTACAGCATCAGCACAGCAGGATCTTCAAGTGTTCCCTTCAGTCATACCTTCTGTTGGAAATAAATCACCTCAATGGCAACATCAGTTGTGTCTCGAATGTGGCAACATTTAAGATCCCAGAGTCTCTTACGGTTTCTTCACATAAAAACAGCTTATGACAGATCCTCACTTGTTGTAGAGGACAATGTCTGGCCTCCAGATGATCTCTGAGGGTATTCGTATGGAGGAGACATTTTCGTAATCCTCAGGTTTCCAGCGAAGTTTGTAATCGCTCCATTCCTGTGGTAAAATGTCAATAGATTACAATATTTCAAACTTTATAGTGGACTGTAGCTTTAGCATCATGTGTTTTATCTCTATATTTATTATGACATACCTGCTTGACCCAGACGTTTGTGGTCATCATTTGGTTCTTCTCATCCTTATGTCATGTAAATAGCAGAGATCATTTTGTTATCTCAACGTCTGTACATCGTCATCACATAATTTGGTAACTATTTCAAAGCTCCTTTTATAATATATCAGCATAGTATCTTTTTATCCAGTACAAGTATCAAGAAAAAGGTAATATTGCATGCTTGTCTGCTTGTGCCGGCAAGCTGCTATCTCCAGCTCTCTCGTATGATGACATATGTGACGCAGCACATCACCTAATTGTGTGAAGAAAACAGAATCTTTTCTGGTAGCCAAGTGGGCTCCTCGTATTTTACTGTGTGGTGTAGCTGCAGCATGAAACTTGACAGTTAGATGCCTTATAAAAAAGCCTCGTACAGATGCGCTGCAAAATAACTTGTAATGAAAAAATAAGTCAAGAAGCAAAAGGGAACGGAGATGTTTGTTGTTGAAACCATCCGTGTCTGGATTCGGATATTTACTGCCTTCAGTAGCAGACCAGACAACTGAATTTAATTTGGGGAAATAATCTCTTCCGCGGAGGGAATAATTTCCGCTGATAAGTGATCCGTATATCAAGATTCACTCGACGGTCCTGGAGTGGCTTTGAGCCGGTGTGAGCATGACGCATATGATATATAGAGATTACTCTTGAAACTATACACAAATGCATTGGACCAACCTGGGAAGGTCCACATATCAGCCTGCAACCTGGCATTAGTTTTCCACATTTGGCGCTTTCGTTCAACAAGTTAAAGGTGCAGGAGGGGACTTGTGGTCAATGTTTGTAAGTTAGATGAGAAAGAGAAGGTCTTTGGCTCTTGGCTGTACTGCTTCTATGTAGCAGTGTTAGGATTGTTACATAACATTACGTCAGAAAGTCTCTTAATGCCGGTTGTTGTTTATTTACGCTAGTTACGTTACATTTTATTTTATTATTGGTTACAGAAACTAGGATCTTTTTTCCAACCTTACTAAGTAGTTTAGTTGCATAAAAATAACCGATCACAATGTGGCCTTGTGTGTGTTGGAGTTATGAGACAATGGGATGAAAACTTACTTATGAATCTTATTTTTGGTTCAGAAATGATGAGATTTTGTGTATTATAGATGGCATTATGAAATCATTTTATTCTTGTTCCCTTTGGCTATTGTTTGTTTTTTTCCCATGAAAGGGCAGCACAGTGATAGACGGAGTAGATACGTGTGCTGTAGCAAAAACAAACACAAAACAAAGCAACATATTCCAGTCGGACTGCATTATGGATATCTGGGGTCGGCTACTGGTGAAACGCAACAATGCTGCGAGCTGCTACTCACCACATCAATGAGCTGGGCAATAGACAGTCCAAAGTGGACTAGCACAGTGTCTGAAGTGTTCTCCACCGGCCGGGAGAGCTTATTGTAACGTGCAAACAGATCCTGGAGCAGCCTCTCTTCGGCGTGGGCACGAGGTCGAACCTGAAAACAAACTGGGGGAGGGAAGAGATCAGAAGCATCAGTAAAGTTTGGATCAATGACCCTTTTTCTAAAATATCTTTATAGAACTTTAGAAGAACACATTTGCTTAAAACTGCACATAATTGCTGCTCCTTTGTGCTCATTCGTGACAGAGGCCGTCATTTGTTTCTCTTTCCACTCTTTTACTATTACTATTGAATATGCACAATACTAATACTGAATACATTTATCTTTAATGGATTTAACTAATCCATCATTCCACGAAGGACCCGCTGTACAGAGACTGGTCTGAAAGGAGGGTGACCTCTATTATGGGTGGCGTTTGGTTACAAGGGACTGTATCTCAATGACGGGAAGGAAAAAAAGCGGAAACATGAATCGCAGTCTGAGGACATCCGTAGCGTCTCTGAACAGACGTTCTGATGGAGCGATCAGTTGAGATGTCTCACCCCCCTCCCCGCCGCCACCTCCTCTGCCGCGGTATCGGTACGCCACGCCGCTCTGATGAAGCAACTGCCCCTGCACCGCCTCCACACCCCCCCCCGCCCGCATTGAGGATGAGCCAACAAGGTCTCTGAACAATCGAAAGGGACAGAGATTGTCCTGAGACTTCTACGGCTGAATGTCCTGTTTTCCAAACCTTTTTTTCCAGAAATTTCTATATTATGGATGAAGCCAGTCTGTAATTTATTGGCACAGGAATTCATCACAGGCTGGGATTTAGTTTCTCCAGCCTCAGTGATATTCATTCCTGGTCCATCTGCATATATCAATGCCTTTCTTGTGCGTGATGCCGTGTAGTGTATATATTTGGTGCTGCTTATTGAACAAAACATACATTTCTAGTAGTATCTTCCGATCTAGAAAAATGATGCTGGTCATCTTGAAACAAGGACACGGATGTTGTTGTAATGCTGCCGTTCTCCCACACACTCAATCAAAGCTGAAGGGCCGTCCTTCAGCCAGAAGACCGGCAATCCCGCTTTTTTATAAAGCTTGAATAAATCCTTCTTTATTAAATTGATCAAGTGTATTATTCCAACAGCATATTACTTACCCGTACTACGTAAATGTGGTCAACATTTCCAGATTGTAAACAACCTTGAAATGTCTCTACGTTTTTGCAGATGAAAGAAACCTACACAGGTACACCTCGTTTCATCCCGTCACCTCGGAGCGATATCTGTTCAATGCAGATGGTGTTAAATAAAACTCCAAAGCAGCGTCCCTACTAATGTGTTTAGACGGGGGAGCTTGCATGTCGCCACGACTTTGACAATGTTGCGGGTCAGAGCAGAGCAGTAATGTGTGCAGGTGAAAGTAGGTGACTGTATTTACTTCCGTACAATGCGCTTTACTGGACACTGTGAACAGCACGTGAGGTAACCAGCTACTCAGAATGAGAAACCTGAACCCTTTCTTCCAGCTTGAATATACTTACTCAAATTTCTCTTGTCCTATTTTTGTGAGGGTATCCTGTTCCGTGGAGACAATCATAATCTATTATGTAAATCGGCCGGAAAATAGAATAAAATTGCTTAAAATAAGAAAATCTCCAATCTCTATCTCTAGCATTATTTTAAGTTGTTAACTGTTTTCATCTACCCAGTTCTGTCCTTATTTGATCAATAAACTCGCAATGCAAATATCAGTTTCTATACAAGTGATATAAATGAGTTCTGCTCAGACAAAGATTTGCTACCAGGTAACTAAGCAACGGAGGCAGTTTCTACCTCCAGTTTCTAGGTTTTGTCAGGGATTACGTTTGTCATCTTGTCAGGTTTGCCTTAAGAAAAAAATAATACTGGGACTGAAGCTTCATTAGAGACTGGAGGAGTGAGGACAGTAGGGAGGGCGACTGAAATAAAAGTTTGTTGCCTTTTAAAAAATATCCTCCTTGGACCCTTCACAAGAAATGCCTTCATACCTCAACATGTCACGGCGAGACCAAAACTAAACCTCAAACCAACTCAAATAAAAAGTGGATTGGGCATCAACTTTGATCACACTAACAAAAAAAACTAATTGTGACGAATAACTCCTGCTCTTTCAATAAATATAGAGCACATATATATCCCTTGAGCATATATTTAAAAGACACAAGTCTCCCTCTTTCTTGATACCCAATCATCCCCAATCCCCTTCAGTGGTTCACATAATAAAATGTGAAGCAACAGATTTACCTTGTGGAGGAAGAGTGATGAAAAGTACACCAAGACATTTGTATAAATCCATTGTGAACTCCCTCACAATTCCCGTTGGATCTCCGTCCCGATGGTCAGTTGTGCGTCCAGGTTCGCTACATCAGCCGGATGGAAAGGTCACGTCGGTCTGTGTCAGCCAGCCGGGCCTGGCGTTCCTCCGTGTGTCCATCTCTTCCGTCTGTCTTGTGTCCCTTCTGTGTCCAAGTGTCCAGTCTGAAGGAGCCCCAGACCTGTAGCTCCGTCCCCTCGACCCAACACGTCCCTCCTCACTCCGCTGGAATCCTTCATCCAAGTGTGCCTCATCCCGCTCTTCTCCACCCTCCCTGTCTCCATTACTCCCTCCCTCGCCTCTCATCTCTCCGCCTCCTCTCCTCATCTCCCTCTCTCTCTCTCTTTCTCTCTCTCTCTCACACACACATTCACCTCATTTCTCTCCCTGCATTCGCTTTATTTGCTTTTCTCCCAGTTACACTTTCTGTCTCTCCTCAAGTTCTGAAGTTTGTTTTTTCGCCATGAAAAACAGTGAACTTTCTTTACTGTGTGTGAAAGGGAAGTATAGAATATATATACGACATCTGTTGATATTTTTCTTACCAGTCTACAGTATGCATAAGTAGTGTGTGTGTGTGTGTGTGTGTGTGTGCGGCCTGGAGATGCCTGTCAAAAACTGGTCTAGTAAAAGTGCTTGTGAGTCATGGAAACTCTGGATACTCTGCAGTCTCCTCCGGGCTCCGTTTTCCAGGAGAATTTAATCTCTCACCTTCACCCCTCCTTTTATCTTAGCCCCCTGCGTTCTGATTTAACCACCTTTGACCCTCATCTTCTGTCAGACAGAGATTTTATCGTTCTCTCTGTGCTTCCCTTCACAGCTTTTCCACGTCAGCCGAGCTCAGTCTGCTGAGACCGACGCTTTGGGTGTGTTTACATTTACTGCATCCATTTTAGTTTTTTATACCGACATGTTGTGCTTTGATAACACGTCAGTGAGGGGGAATAACTGGAGACATTCAAATAAAAGCTTGACTCGAGAGTCATGTTTACTTGAGATGAAGAAGCCCAACTTTTGACTGTTACATGATCGAGTGCAACAAAAGAGGTCCGGGAGGAGATATATTTTGCCACTGTAGATGTGTTTGTCAAATGTGCTTCTTTTCAATACACTATGAGCCCACAGAGATGAAGCCCCCGCAGTGTACACATTGATTTTTTCTAATCAAAGACGCGGCTCTATTGATGCGGCGATGACTAACGGTGACTTGACAGATGAAGAGATTCCTCTCAGCTGTGTGCTGCCTCACAAAGATGCAGACTCTTACCAGAGATTTGACAGCCGATTATTTAGCTGGATTTCTGTCAGAAGTCCAGCAGGAATTTGTAAGTGGGACAACGCAGCAGCAGCAGGGGGGGGGCACCGGAAGACGGAGTTTCACAGGCTGTAAATGTACAGGGTGTGTACAAATAGGCCAATAACAGACTGGTGGGTGACACATACATCAGATTATCTCACACCCACGTATGGACACATGCAAGATCCTTCCACCTCAGCTGATGAGACGGACCATCTGCCCCCCACCAATGGGGTAGGAAATGGACTGCATCAATACTTAGGCCTGGGCAAATATCCAACGAGAGAAAATATTGTCTTTAATTGGAATTATATTGTGACAATATCATGTGGAGATATGATAAACAATTATTGAGCATAAAATACAAACCAGCTTGTACCTACTTTGAAAATTGGAATCGATAAAAATTGCTCAATGATATTTGAAACAGCCCTTTTCTAGTTTAGACTAACACATGCCAGCTTTTATCTATTCAAACATATTCATACACTGCAGGCTTTCACACAAGGTCATCATCAGAAGTGTTAAACATTCACACGCACTCTCGCACACACTGGGGGAAAAAGCCACTGGGAGAAAATTGTGGTTCATTATCTTCCTCCCGAAAGACACTCCAACATATTGACCCCGGGGAATTAAACCACCCACCTTCTGATTAGTGGACAACACCTTTATATCCCGAGCCACAGATTTCAAGAAATAGCATTATTCACCTCCGCAGGCACACTCCTTAATAATTCAACTTATCCTGATATTGGAAAGGATTTACAAAAAAGCATTTTGACTTTTGCATCAGGTGGTCAAAACCCACACACAGGTTGTTTGCTGCTTCATACACATTTCTGAGAAACCTTTGTTTGCAATTACCGACATCATACGTTTCCTGTAGTTCTTGACCAGGTTTGCACACACTGCAGCAGGGGTTTTTGCCCACTCCTCCAACCAGACCGGATCTCCAGATCCTTCAGGTTTCGGGGCTGTCGCTGGGCAACACAGACTTTCAGCTCCCTCTAAAGATTTTTCTATTGGGTTCAGGTCTGGAGAGTGGCTTGGGGTTGTACTCATCCTTCTTCTTCCTCCAAACACGGCGAGTGAAGTTCAGACCAAAAAGCTCTATTTTGGTCTCATCAGATCACATGACGATCCAGATGGACATTGGCAAACTTCAGACGGGCCTGGACATGCGCTGGCTTCAGCAGGGGGATCTTGCGTGCGCTGCAGGATGTTAATCCTGTGTGTAGTGTGTTACTAATGGTTTTCTTTGAGACTGTGGTCCCAGCTCTCTTCAGGTCATTGACCAGGTCCTGCCGTGTAGTTCTGGGCTGATCCCTGACCTTCCTCATGATCATTGATGACACTTCAGGTGAGATCTTGCATGGAGCCCCAGACCAAGTAAGTCATCTTGAAGTTCTTCCATTTTCTAATAATTGCGCCAACAGTTGTTGTCTTCTCACCAAGCTGCTGTTCTGTAGCGCATCCCAACCTTGTGCAGGTCTACAGTTGTATCCCTGATGTCCTTACACAGCTCCCTGGTCTTGGCCATTGTGGAGAGGTTGGAGTCTGTGTGGACAGGTGTCTTTTATATAGGCAACGAGTTCAAACAGGTAATGAGTGGAGAACAGGAGGGCTTCCTAAAGACAAACTAACAGGTCTGTGAGAGCCGGAATTCTTATTGGTTGGTAGGTGATCTACTTATGTCATGCAATAAACAAAATGTGATTTTCTGTATTTTTGTTTTAGATTCCGTCACTCACAATTGAACACTACCTATGATAAAATTACAGACTCCTACATGCTTTGTAAGTGGGAAAACCTGCAAACTCGGCAGTGTATCAAATACTTGTTCTCCCCACTGTATGTATGACATTATTCCCCATAGTCTATTCTCATTGTTCAGTTCATCCCCTCCTGTTGGTTGCACTGCTTCCAGCCTCAGGTCTGGCTGGCATTTATGTGAGAGCTTTTATCCAATCATATTTCAGCCACTACGTGTTGCCACGGTGCAAGAGATCTGCCATCAGAATCAACAATGCGGGCGCTTATAGCTCAGAGAGAACGGAAGGATTTTGAGTTGGCGCCACCGGGGCCAGCTAACAAGCACACAATAACGTCTGCGCGTGCACGTCTTTTGATTGGATACACACTAGTGGGAGGTGGAGCTACGCAGAGCTGGCAAACCTGAACGAGCTAATTTGCATAGATCCACAAGCAGTTCTTTTCAACCCTTTTCAATTCAATGACTATGGGGGACATGCACGGACCGCAACTGTTACATTCAGTCCAAGTCTTATATGTAGCTATAAACCGCTTATTCTGAGGTACGGAAAATAATAATTTAGGTGATTATACACTAAAGAAAACCAACCCTTTTATTCAATTTTTGACAATAATTCCCAAAATGCTAACCATGTTGCTTAAAATGTAGTTGAGCACTACAATCTTAAAACACTGCAGTGCCACCTCGCATTGCAGTGCTATGTGTCTTTGGACTTCAGTGCGGGGCCTCAAAGGTTATTTCGAGCGGAGTCACATTTGACTTGCCAAATCAATTATACAAAATCTCAGAACTCGTCTTAAACACTAACGACTCAAAACTCCACTTGAGCTTGAAATGAGTTGACACCCTGCCAAAGCCAGATTAATACTTGTGATAATGTACTGCTTGTCATTCACAGACAAGCCTGTTAAATGGATGGGGAGAAGGTGCAGGAGAGAGATAGAGTTATGACAGATGCAAAGGGAAAAAACATAGTGTACCCACACAAGAAAAAACATTCTCTGAAATATACTGATTCTGCATCAATGTCCATGTTATTTTATATTAGAGAACCAATAAATAACTGATGTAGACTGGTAAAATTCAAGCAGGATCTTCCTGTCTGGCAGGGATGGACAATAATACATCAACATGTATTTTGATACAAAACATCCCTTGAATCTATTAAAATAAAATGTAAAATATAATAAAATAAGTGGGCGGCACGGTGGCGTGGTGGTTAGCACTGTTGCCTCACAGCAAGAAGGTCCTGGGTTCGATTCCACCCAGTGGCCTTTCTGTGTGGAGTCTGCATGTTCTCCCCGTGTCTACGTGGGTTCTCTCCGGGTTCTCCGGCTTCCTCCCACAGTACAAAGACATGCTCTGGGGATCAGGTTGATTGGTGACTCTAAATTACCCGTAGATGTGTGAATGTGAGTGTGAATGGTTGTATGTCTCTGTGTAGCCCTGCGATTGGCTGGCGACCAATCCAGGATGTACCCTGTCTATCGCCCGAAGTTGGCTGGGATGGACTGCAGCCCCCCCGTGACCCTGTGTGCAGGATAAGCGGTTTGACGATGGATGGATAATAAAATAATTTAAAATATAGGAAATAATTATCTCTGGATTTTCCGTTTTCTCACAATTTGGTATACAAAGTATTCAGGTTTGGGCTATATAATGTACACAAACAGGAAGAACAGTCACAGAATGTCAGTGTAACATGAATCATGAACCTATTCCTATAGCTACTCGATTGATAAGTTAACTTGCTAAACACCGGCTATGCACTAGCCTAGACAGCATGCTAGCTTTGTTAGCAGCCACGAATGTTTGATATTATAACCATCACTATGTAGATACAATAGGCTTGATATTATAACCATTACCATGTATACACAACAGTGTTGGGCAAGTTACTGAAAATAAGTATTTAGTTACAGTTGCTAGTTACTTCTTTTAAAGGTAATTGAATTACTTACCAGTTACCGTGTATCAAAAGTAATTGGTTACTCCGGAAAATAACTTTTAAGTTACTTTTATGTCTGCTTTTTAAATGTAATGAATATAAATAGTACTGAACAGTCAAACACAATAAACATATTTTTTAGACCTATTTATTGTAAATCAACGGGACAACAGGCCTTCAAATCAAGCAATAGTAAAAAAAAAAAGTCTTTTTAATACTTAACTTAATACA